ATCTGCATAATAATTTGCAGTAGAAACTACAAAAATCAGCTAAACGGGTAAGGGAGCTGGGCTCCAACCTGAATGAAATGAAGACGAGAAGACGCTTGGTCAGGCAGTAGAAAATGGCTGATCAAAAGTCTCTTAGAAAAGGTTGAAAAATTGGCTTAATATTCATTGAAATAGGTGAAGGCTTTTCCTATTCCAGCTAATACATGTATAGAAAAAGGGCAACCGATTTTGCAAACTTCCATGAAAGTCGACACGTTGGTCCTATTGGAAAATAATTGAAAAGTGTATTTAAATCTAAAGAAATGAACTTTAGATGTTCAAGCCAGTCTCAGATATATCTACACAGTAGGTTGAATGGACTGATGCCTATCAGAAAACAACTACTCCACTGGCTAATACCACGAACGACTTTGGATTATATGCGACAGGCGTCAGTGCAGAATTCTTCACAGAAAATTTCCTGCATATGCAATTGGGAATACAACTGAAAGAGTCGACCTTCAATTTTGAAACCGGAACACTTGCAGACCAGTTTCGGCCTCCTTAGCCACTCATCTGTGCAAGATAGTGACCATCATCGACCTAAATTGAAGGCCGACTCTTTCAGTTGTATTACCAATTGCACATGCAGGAAATTTTCTGTAAAGATTGTTGCACTGACGCCTGTCGGATATAATCCAACGCCGTTCGTGGTATTAGCCAGGGGAGTAGTTGTTTTCTGATTGGCGTCAGTCCATTCAACCTATCGTGTAGGTATATCTGGCTTGAACATTTAAAGTTCATTTCTTTAGATTTGTTTACTGCCGGTCTTCAAGCATAGCCCACTGACTAATAAGAAAAGTTTATTGTATTTTTATTGTACTTATTGCAATCCAGCAGGTGTGGGGCCTTCACATAAGTGGTCAGAACTGATCGAACTGAATTGCCGACATGCAGCCTGAAGAAAATTGTTTGAAATTAACTTTGACACTGATGAAAATTATGGGATTCATGAAAAAACAAACTCTCTTTGACAAAATGAAAATGTATGTATCGCTTCTATTTGTTATAACTGTAGACGTTTTGATGATTATTGGCATCATTTCTGGAAACAAAAACTCCCTCAAAGTTTTTGCGAACTATTTTGAAGGAATGGGTTTATTTTTCCAGGTATTTTAGGTGCTGTATTGATTCATTTACGTCATAGAACCACTTTTTATATTCGTTTTAGATAACAACTAAATTACTTATCATATTAGTCTACAAGGATGACCTGCAAGGTATCTTGGTCCTTCGAGAGAAATTCTGGAAATACGATAAATTCGGCAAGGAGTTTGAAGACGAAATAAGAATATACCCTAAAAACATGTACTTATTCATGAGAGTATATCTTGTTTTCATCTCCAGCACACTTTTGGCGGTGACACTGAAGCCGTTTATACTTCACGAACTACCTTTACCGTGTTGGCTGCCAGAAGGAGAATTTTGGTTTTACGCTATCTCTTTATTCGAAATTGAACTTTTGTCCTTCGGTATATATGCTGGTGCTCTAGGATTTGACACGATGTTCCCCCTCATGTGCATGGAGGCGTCGATGCAATTTAGATTGCTCAATCGAGCTTTTTCCAGGATGGAAAACCAAAATGACGTACGGATTTGTGTAGCTCATCACACATTTTTATATGAGTAAGTAGCCGGCGAAATGAATACTTTAGTTTGTTTTTCACCCATGATTTCCCAACTGTATCATATAGCACAATCATTTGAGTCATTTTTTTTATAAATCTGACGTTGATTATACAGAGCCTTCCATAATAACATCATAATATTTAAGTAAGTATATTATTTTTTAGTCCATTTTGAAAAAAATCCTTGTATAAACGAATTACTTCTTGAGTTTTAAACTTTGATTTTACTTTAGATGATTTGTTAAACAAAGTACTATCAAAAGCATAAAAAATGTATTTAAACGGTTTTATAAAGCTTGTCCTGTTTGTTTTTTGGGTGAAATTTGTTGATTGAGGTTTGACCTCCTTCCTGTTGACAGATTGATCGGATATTTGGTATAGTTCAAGTAATTGATATAGTGCAAACTATGGTGATGATTGAAAATACTTCGATCGCTTCAAAAACACTTCACTAATTTTCTTCGAAAGCTTCTGATAATTCCTTTTCCATATTCTCTGTTTCACTATCACTGTCGACATTCAAATCAACAATGAATTTATTTCAATGAATATATTTAATATGGAAGTGTCCAGTCTCTATATAGTATTTTCAACTAAAATAACATTTTTAATCCTTTTCTGCCAGTCTTCTTCGGTAATATTAAATACTTCTTCTTGTGGAATTGACCGCGGTGGTCGTGCGCCCGACTCACGATCGGAAGACCGTGGGTTCGATTCCTGCCTCCTCGACCAGATATTTTTCTCGAGAGAATTTATCTGGTTGAAGCTGGGATGATTCTGCAACCGTGTTAGGAATCACACGTTAAAAGGTTAAACGTCGTTAGTCCTTAGCTCGCACAAGTTTCTCAACTTCTGAGAGTTGTCGTTCGTATGATTCACGGAAAAACAGATTTCAAACAGATTTAAAAACAGATTTATTTAGCTCTATTACCTCCTTATCAAATTTTGGAAAATAATTTTAACGCCTGATAAGTGTGTCCATACTTTTCAGCAATACTCTCAAAGGTATACACTTTTTCAAACGTTTTTGTCTGTAAAACTTCAAATAGTTGGTTTTTTGTATAGTTATCTTCAAAATACAAATTAATATCCATAAAAAAACTTTGTATTTCATCTATCCTCGAATTTTTATTCGGTACTTTGATGAGCTGTCACGAATGATAGGAAGCATTGTCAAGAAGTATTACACTATTCGCATCCAAATTTGGGATCAATGTGTTTCCATGTTCTTATGATAATCATCATTGCAGTCCTCGAGTTTTTTTCCACATAATTTCAAAGAATTCGGAACCCATCCTTTACTTCCTCCGCAATGCACAATGATTAGTCGCGATCCTTTGTTTGCAGACATGTTAGGCGTACACATTCTCGAACCATCAGTCCACCCTTTCGCAACTATGTCGTAAGTGTTATACCAAGTTTCGTCCAAATAGAAAATTCACCGTCTATATTAACTTTATTTGTTCTAAGTATTTGTTACGCAATTCCACTATTCTTCTGCTTTCCGTAACTGATTGACGTTTGTTTATTATTTTAAATCCGAATCCTAGTTTCTTTATCCAATTCTGAAGAGTTTTGTCACAGCAGCTCACGTTATTCAATTTCTTCCTTATGATTTCAATTGTAGGAATCTCATTGCTTTTGTAACAGTCGTATATTGTTTTTTTTCAATGATTTTATTAGACGAACATCTAAAGGTTTTGGTAATCCCGTATCACATCGCGTCTTGCGTTCATAAGGTTTGTTTTTGACTATTTTACGTAGAGTTGAGAAAGGAATTTCGGTCACATCTGATGTTGCTTGTAATAGTTTGTTTCCCTCGAAACCAAACTTGATATGTAGATTCTTATATACGTTGAAACATACTCTCTGTGTTCCAATATTCAAACGCATCTGAATCTTATTCACTGGTATCTCTTCTTCGCATTGTTCTCCATCGCTATTGGAATCACTACACAGGAAAAAGTCGGCGATTACTATTAGTACTTGTCCAAGGACGCCACATTTCAAACAGATAACAAACATTTCAAGTAATTATAACTGCACCAATATCGAATTTCAACACTCAAATCGCGATCAGTTCCTGACTGAACATCGACAACACGACAGCTCGCATTCTAGACTTCAAATTTAATTTTATGACTCTTCAGCCAATCATAAAATTCGGTTAGTAAAAACCATCCAATATGAACCGCCAATTCTTCAGTCCACGTGTACTAGTTGGCAGCGGCTTTACTTCGCTGTATTGGTTTTTTGGTCTCTGAGAGCGCCGACACTTCAAGTATGCACAATACCAGTTTCTTCAACTATACTTATTGTCAGTTGAATTTTCCAGTGATCTAAATCACGTCTAAAAAGGTTTGTTGGGTAACAGAATCAATTGAATTCTTCTGCAGGGCTATGATGTAACAATGAATTTTCTAAGATATAGAAAATTGGTACTAATACTTTAGTACATTCGACATACTTTTATGCCATGTTCTGGAACATGCATTGTTAGGTTGGTAACTGTTAGGTTGGTAACATCTTTGTAACTAATAACCTCAAGCTGGTTGTTACATCCTGTTACATCCATTCTCCTGTTGCAGAATTAAAATATTCACCTGCTTCCCAACCCCTTCAAAGTACATCTCTTACATCAAAACTTACTGTAAGAGATAGCTGTCTGAAGCCTCATGTTATAGATGATCCACAAGTGTATGATAAAAATTATCAAAAAATTTATTATAATCAGCACTGCCGAAAATCAGTAAACTTTAACGAGGGTGATACCGTTTTAGTACAAGACAAGTTTACTAAGTTGTGGGAGAGAGCACTCTTGAAAAGCTTAATTTTAGGTCATATTTAGTAAAAATTAATAGCAGAATGTATAGGCGCAATTCAGTGTTTATTAAGAAATACAATGCTCCTCCATCAGAGCATGCTGAATCACATTATTACAAGCATAACGATTTTGATGAAACTGTTGATGTCCCAAATAATGTAAACATAGATAGAGCTGTTCAAGATTTAAATAATTCTGGTTGTTCCTTGCCAGTGGATTTACCTAACTCTATTACAATTAGATCAGGAAGAATAATCAAAAAACCAGAAAGACTAGACTTGTAAAGTTTGTATTTGTTAGCTCTGTATTCTTGTAGTTAAACCGTTATTGTATTTTATATTCTGTTGTAAGTAATATTTGTATTTCTAAATAATTTGTTACAGGTTAGATCATAAGTTACATACTACCTATGTGAGCATGATTGTAATGTATACTTTACTTTCATATTGTGATTTTGTATCTGAAACTTAAGGAGGGGAATGTTAGGTTGATAAATGTTAGGTTGGTAACTGTTAGGTCTTTGAAACTAATAACCTCAAGCTGGTTGATACATCCTGTTCCTATTCTGAATACTCAACTTGTATAGTGTGTGTGCCCTAAATAATAAACTTAATACTATTGCTAACATGTGCTTATTAATTAGTATATCCAAACATGCATCATTTTTTTAGTACATAGTTTACTCTGTTGTTATTGTAAAGTGAGATTTTTATATCATTCAAATGATATATTTGTTCATTTCAGGTTCGTGAATCGAATCAAGCACATTCACTCAGCAGCATTATTCACTAGGCTGATAGTTTTCATGCCAGAAGCAAGCATTCAACTGCTCGTCATTGAAGATCAGTTAGATTGATTTTTCTCAGAAGTGATTTTTTTTAATTATTGCTTTTTTCAGGAATCAAGTTTTTGCAAATAAGCTAAAAGCAGTTTTATACATATTGGATATATACATGCAATTAACTTATTTTTGCTTTCCTGTGGGCTTTCTACAAAGTCAGGTATAACTATATTTATTTTTATTACATACACATCCTTTTTAAACAGAACACAGGAACGTACATCCATTATGACAGACAACATGACAAAAATTATTTTACCAAATAATACAATAATTGGGACTACAAACAGCGACTATGCAGTGACAAAAAATATATCAAAAGTAAATCTAAATAGAGACTACTAAAAACATAAGTATAGTAAATAAATACAGAAAGGGAGCATCATGTTACCAAAACGTCAACAGAAAAATACTTTTGGGAAAGAAAGTTCATGGCTTCCTACTTTTCTGTCTCAATACAAAAAATGTGGGAATTTTCCAAAGAAAGGAAGGAAGCAATCAATTTCAAAACATTAACTCTCTACAAAGATGTGTAGATCATGTACAGACCAAACTGGAAGAAAAAAACACTCCTGAAACAGCTATTTTCATATAAACATTGAATTACACGAAATAATAATACTTTCGAAACAAATACTTTTATAGGAACGCTAAATTATACAAAAAACACTTCTTTCTATTCCGTTTGTATTCCAAACATTCGTAATGGAATCGAAGCAGATATCATTCACAGGATTCTTACACAATATAATTAATGAAAGAAGTAAAATTTCACTTACATGGAACACTGTCATCCTCACTGCTAGATATCCGATGTTTCGCCGTAAGACACTTGCCTTATCGGCTCTTCAGTAGCAAATACGGATAACAATTATAAGAAAAAACACTCACTTTGTTCATAAAATTACGAATTTTTGTCACGGAATGAATTGAATCCACCCATATCATCAATGGCAATACGTAAATAATATTCATTCGCTTATTTGATTAAATCCCAGGCATAGACATCTTATGATGAATTATATTCATGAATAATTTAGAACCCCAAGAATTCGGAACAATCCTTTTGTTTTCGTAACGAGTATCTAGTGGACTTCAAAGACTCCAGGAAATCGGTTGGAGGAAAAGATGATACATTCTTACGAAACTGCAGCTGCATGAACAGGTGTTTGAGTTTGATGAATAGGTAGAAAACATTCTCGTTCTCTTTCATCATTGAAACCTCGTTCTTGAAATTAACAACACTTGTAAAATGCTATTCATGTAGCAAGTGTTTCCTAAATCATCCAATCCAATTTTGTTCTCTAGATTCTCAGGATAACTCTCTACTAATTCGTAAGGAAGAACATGTTTCACAAAATCTGCATAAGAAGCATTTTTCAAGCCGCAATCGATCCTTCCAAGTGAAGAAAGGTTTCGTAGAGAAAGGAACATTTTGGAATATTCCCACATTTTTTGTATTGAGATGGAGAAGTAGAAAGCCAAAAACTTTCTTTCCCAAAAATTAATCTCTCCTAAAAATATACCCTTTCAATTTAGAAAAATATTAGTTATAAAAGTTCTTTGAGAAAACTTTTGAATCCTTTGTTTTCACATGGTTCTTTGCTATTTCCAGACTTCGGAAAGCATCCAAAAATCCATTGTCATGTCGATAATTTCCATCATTTTTGATTTATTCTATGGCCGTTTTCCGAAGCGTGTTCAGTGACACTAGATTTTTTTGGTCTCCAAAATGGGATATGTTTCTCGTGTTCTTTGAAACGAGTTTAATGGCTCGCGTAGTCTGACTGATGTATTTTTGACTTGTATCATATGTCACCGATTTTTCACTTCCTAATATCTTCTCTTAGATAATGGAAGGTTGTGTATTTTCATAACATGTTTGCAGATGGAAGAGTCAGCAGTAGCCGTTAGCACTTGCCCCTGGTATATGAAAAATGGAAATTTTGCGAAGAATTTGATTCCAATTATGAAGCGTTCTCAACAAATGTTTTCAATCAAAGTTTGGGGATTATTCGATGTGGGCCGTATAGGATTCGTAAATGTAAGATGCCAGAAAAAAAAGAATGAGAAATTCATTTTGGGACTGGAGGTATTGATGTTTCATTTCCTAACTTTTCCGAATTCTCTAGAATTGATAAGCTGAATAACGCACGTTGGTAATAAAAGTATCAGTAAATTTGAAATATTAGTATAGACTATAGAGAAATTAATAAAGTTATTAGAAAGTTATAACGGCTCACTACAATTATTTTTCAAGTGTCACATACTCCAGGACCTCCTTCTACACTATAATGGCGATTCGAAAGTAATTGAGTATAATTTTCTCGAAAACGGTGAGACTTATATAGGCAAAATTGCGAATCGAAGTTCATTTTCTTGCTCATATCTGGATTTTCAAAAATCTACTTAAACTCTAACACTGCAACTTTTAATGGGCTATAGAAATATGCTTGAGAAAGTTATTAAAATAAAAAGTATCATTTTTTAGGTGTAAGAGAATCGTTACTAACATAATATATATTTTTTAGCTTTGCAGATTCACATTTTCGGTTTACACCTTTCTAAAAACCGTCAAATAGGAAGAACCACATTTCACCTGAAAGTTCTTGCGAAGAATGCATTACAATAAAATATTTTGTAGTTATTTATTCAATCTCAAACACTGAATGTTTGTCAAGATTATTATGAGTATATTGTTAAATTATCAAAAAGTTTTTGTTCATTGTATATTTTATATAATGTACATATTAATTAATTATTGAAGAAACCAAGCAACGCCGCAATCAACAGAAATAAAACTATAGTTTACCGTCGAGACGTGGAAAAGTGGTGTAAGCGCTGTGACCTGTGCTTTTCGAGAAAGGATTCAAAGACAAGGCAAAGAGAAAAGTTGAAGCAGTACCTCAATGGGTGCCCTTTCGAGAGAATCGCAGTCGACATTTTGGGACCACTCCCTATGACCACATCCGGTAACAAGCACCTCATGGTTGTGATGGACTACTTCTCCAAACGACCTGAAGTAGTAGCCTCACCCAACCAAGAGGTTAAAACGGTGACAGAAGCCCTTTTGCAGAACGTAATTATCAGAGACGGAGTACCCCAAGAACTATACTCGGATCAGGGCCGCAACTTCGAATCGGATTTATGAAAGGAAATTATGACTCTGCTGGGAGTAAAGAAGACAAGAACAACTGTTCTTCATCCACAATCTGATGGAATGGTCGAGGTGCCTAATCGCACCGTCAATAACCTTTTTATATTTGTCTCCGAAAACCAAAGAGACTGGGATAAATTGGTCCGTCTTTTTCTGTTGGCATACAGGAGTTCCCAACATGACGCGACAGGTTACACACCATCCATGTTGTTAACTGGTAGGGAACTGAAACTTCCGATAGATGTACTGTGCTTTCGATGAATCTCAAGAGGTACCTCTTTCAGAGTATGTGAATAACCTGAAGGAGAGACTGGAAATTGTACACGAATTTGCCACAACCAAATTACAGCTTTCCAACGACAGGACGAAAATAAGATTTGACGAAAAGTCGCTGCCAGTGAACTTCAAGGAGGCGATGCAATGTGGCTCTACCAATCCCAACGTCGGAAAGGTTTGTGCCCCAAGTTACAGAGACCTTGGCAAGGACCTCACTTGGTAACCAAAAAGATAAACGATCTGGTGTACAGAATCCAATTGTCACTCAGAAGCAAGCCTAAAGTTGTCCACACGCGAAGTGATCTAGTAAAGCGATAGATATTCAGTTCTAGTTGAAGTGTTTGTTGTATTCAAAGTGAAATGAAGTTAAGTTTGATTATTCAGTGTAGTCAAATTATTGGTCAACCCACGGGGAAAAACGTAACAGTATATTGGTTGAGGGTTTTTCGGCTTTGAAGGCCGACGAATTTTCGAATTTCTGCCTGGCGCGAGTGTATAGCTTCTTCAGAGGTTTAAATATCCTGAATTTATCTTCGATCACTGGATATTACGTCGTCGGCCCTTTTTTACCTGCCGTCATGTTGTTAGCTATTCTTGAACTCTTCAGAATGGGATTCCATATTCGGCAGAGGTTCACAGCTTCTTTTTTTCTGTTGAAATTATCCATGTGTTTGTGGATTTATGTTGCCCTCTATACCAGTCGGCTATAGTATCCCTGGTTTGGGGCTATGAGTGTCATGTTTTCAAACAGAATCCTGTGGTTTCCTTCACTGTGTGCGTGCTCTGCCACAGTAGACTTGTCCGTTTGGCCTAGTCTGCAGTTTCGGCCTCATTCCTATGGATCTTTTGGTGGTTCAGATGTATACTTTCCCGATATGGGACGGTATGTGATATACCCCTGCTGCTGGGTATCTTTTGTCTTCAGCCGACCTGAGACTTCGCTGTATCTTCTTGGTGGGTTTGAAAACCGTCTTAATGTTGTGTTTTCTCAAGATTTCCCAATTCTGTTCCATGCCCTTGTTGATGTCGGATGCACTATATCCATCCGATCTCAAGGTCACTTGAGGACCTTCCAGTTCTTCCTCTACAAATCAGGATTACGGCAGCAAATATTCTGAATAGGGCACGACCGCCAAAATGCAACATCTCAAAAAGAGAGATTGCAGTCTTGAAAAGCTTGAACTCTGATGAGGGTATCAGGATTATTTCAGCGGACAACGGAAATGCCACGGTGCTTCTGAATACTAAAGAATATAACAGCAAAATCGAAGAACTACTAGACCCTTCAAACAACCGCAAACTTAAACGGGACCCAACACAATCAAGGTTGAGGAATGTTAACAAAATCATTGAATCTTCCTCACTGTCGGAAACCGTACAGAGAACCATTCTAAGAACCAAAGCCGTTCCACCTAGGCTCTACGGTCTTCCGAAGATATATAAAACCAACATGCCATTGACACCAAAAGTCAGTGCCCCAGGCTCGCCGACCTACCACCTGGCAAAACATCTGGCGTCGCTCTTCCAGCCTCATGTGGGAAAGACAATTTCCTATGTCAAGGATTCGACAGACTTCGTTGATAAAATTAGAGACTCAACTCTGGAGCCAACAGATATTCTGGTCAGCTGCGATGATTTTTACCAATGTCCCACTGGAAGACTGACGGGGGAAGATGACGGAGTTAGCCTACTTGTTTCCGAGTGATATCGTCGGACCCTTCAGAGCATATGTTACGGGGAATTTCTTTCAATGGAGGGGTAACTTCTATGAGCAACTATGTGGCGTGGCGATCAGAAGTCCACTCAGACCATCTACTTCATGGAATGTTTTGAAGAGAAAGCAATCAACACCTTTGAATTGAAATTGTGCCTTCGTAACGTAGATGACACCTTCGTCATCTGGAAACATGGAAGAGGCGCTCTGAACCTTTTTCTAGACCACTTGAACGCTCAACACCCCAGCATTAAGTTCACCATGGAGAATAAACAGGACCACCGGATAGCATAGTCCTGTTTAGTTTGTACCCATTGAACAATGTGCTACTAGACTAACTCACAAAGTATACGGAAAACTCACGCACACGGATAGATACCTGCACGCACTATTTAATCATCATCCTAGTCAAAAGAGATACGTCATTTTTACTCCAACTGAACGGGCTCGATGAATATGTTAACCAAATCGTCTAGAGGAAGAATTGTCACGTCTTCAAGTGACCTTGACATCGAATGGATACACTGTATCCGAGATCAACAAAGGCATGAAACTGCGGGTCTACCATATATATATCCCTAGGATCACAGACAGAATTGGAAAACTCTTGAAGAAACAACATTAAAACAGTTTTCAAACCCACCAAGAAGTTACAACAAAGTCTCAAATCAGCTAAAGACAAAAGAAGCCCACTATCAGCAGCAGAAGTATATCGCATACCGTGCACTTGTGGGAAGGTATTCATCGGAACCACCAAAAGATCCATGGAAACAAGGCTGAAGGAACATGAAAAAAACTGCAGACTGGGCCAAATGGACAAGTCAGCTGAGGCGGAACACGCACTCAGTGAAAGAAACCACAGGATTCTGTTTGAAAACACGAAACTCATAGCACCCAACCCGGGATACCATAGCCAACTGGTACGGGAGGCAATAGAGATCCACGAATATATGGATAATTTCAACTCAACAGAAAAGGAGAAGCTATGAACCTCAACCGAATATGGAATCCCATTGTAAGAAGTTCATAAATAGCAAACAGCATGACGGCGCGGCGGGTAGAGAAGGGTCAACGAATGTTATTGACAATTTACCTTATCCAGGTACAGATATTAGCACACCAAACTACCTGATTCAACCTAAATAAGGTTTAAGCAGCCATAACATCCAGTCATCGGAGATAAACTCAGGATTTATAAACCTCTGAAGAAGCTAGCCAGTCACGCAAGCGAAATGTCAGGAAGAAATTCCAAAACGCGACGGCCTTCAAACCCGAAAAATAGTGACACTGAAGTAGTATATTATTCAAAGAGGGAAAAATGTGGCCATTACTAGTGAGAATGAATTTTGTCGAAAATAATGAAACTTGTTCATCTTGTTTGAATCGGTATCAATATCATTACGAAATAAAAACCAAAATTATGTTGTAAAGATATATTCCTTATCAAAAATATATAAATATCGTGTTCTCTACATTCAATTCAGAGTAATGTTTCAATCATTTCTCTTCAGTGATAAAGTGAAATAGAAAATAAATACTTAGAAATAACACAAAAATATTGGACGGATATAATTATTAAAAAGATATGATCAGTATTTCAATTTATACATATATAATGTATATCACTAATACTGGCACAGCGAGAGATGTAGAAAAAATATCTTATTTTATTTACTTATTGCAGGTAAATTGTTATCTACCTTAACATAACTGTCAAGTACATCTTGAGAGTGTCTCACCTCATATTCCTATTGACTATTGTACAACAAATTTGGTTTCAATCAACAACTGCATGCTTGGTTCACAGTAATGGAAAAAAATTTAACGAATCCCCGCATGGAACTGTAGAAATAGGAAAGATATATTCCGAGAAATAGACCCATTATGGTTACAATATGTGGGAATACTTGATACAAGTTAAACAAGAAGTAACGACAATATTATTTTTATATAAAGCTTTCTTTCACTGGTTATTTTGCAGTTCTATCACCTCAGCTACCACAATGAAATAAAATGTCTACTCCACTAATGGTAAATAAGTAAGCCGATGAAAATATTATCATACAACGCCGAAGTGTACCACCTTAATTTTCGGCTGCTGTCCATTATCAGACCCTTCAGTATCGTCTTCTTTCCTTACGGGTGTGAAATCCTTCAAGTAGTCTTCATTGGGGTGGCAAAGTGGTAAACTGTCCGCTAATTCTTTCTGTGGGTCTGTGACGTGGGCAGGAGGCAGCGGCCTTTGTGGCCGTTTTATTTCAGGCACGATAAAAGCTGTGACGGTATCGGAAAACTTTACTTTCGGCTGGTGTTTCTTACTACCGGAAGTGGATGTATTTTCAGAGGTCGAAGTGTTGGATTGTGAGTATGGAGGAGGCTTGGCCGCGCTATGGACATGAGTCGACGAAAAATTTATAAGATCCGAATTACTCGTATTCATAGTTAAGTCGGGTAAAGGCGGGGAAAGTATCTTACTAGAAGCGAAATTTCTTTTTACGTTGTTCACAGACAGACCTGACGAATTGAAAGAGGTCGCTAGTGAATTTTGAAAAGTCTTGTCCGAAGATGTGGTACTATTCGTCATAAACGAAGTACTGGAAGTAGTGCCACTAAAAAAGTTGCCGTTGAGTGAAAAACTACTGCCGATCACAGAACTTAGGGGAGTTTGGGAGTTATCTCCGAAAGATGTACTCACTTGCGAGTAAGGTATGCCTAGAGAAGTCGGCAAAGGCTGAGTATACGGCAACGGAGGCGGTACCAAGCTTGGACTAATAGTCACGTTTGTTTTAGTGAAAGTACAAGGAACTTGAGGTGCCTTTACATAAGTAGCTCTGGAACCATACCCCGACCTAGAATATTCACTCTGATACTTTAAGGAAGAGATCGGTTTTTCCGCGAATGGTTTGTAAGTTGTTGGATCAGGCTGGTTGAAATCCGTAGCCAAACAATTATCGGGGTTCAAGGGAAGGGGTGGAACGTAACTTCTAGTTGTAGCTACCTTCGAAGATTCCTTTAGGTTCTCAGAATTGCTATCGTTTTCGCTAGAACTACTCCCTGAGTCGGAACATTGGGAGCAAGATGAACGTGAACAGTTCGAAGCTGAAATAAATATTAATTAAAAAAATCATACGACATAAAATAAAATACTTCTGTGAGAAATGAAAAAAGTGAATATTGCTCAATTAGGATCAACAACAATTCAAGGCAACTACAAAAAAAGGATGTAGATTAGAGTTCAAAGAATCACATGAAGGGGTGCAGTAAGACAAAAACCAATTTAATAATTCTCAATAACATTGTTATATATTTGATGAGATATTTTCTTATAGTTGTTAAAAAATACTTCATCTTTTTTTTTTACTCTACTAATCGAATCTGTTTATAAATTTTGTCACTTTCATATTAGGACTTTCAAAAATAATTGGCAGATACTTTCATCGGAATTTTATAGGTATTTTTTTTAATAAAATGGCATTCCATTACACGATATCTATTTCAATAGGCGTATGATTTCATAAATAATGAAACATGAGAATGATAAGCAAAAAGTTGATGAAATACTATAAATTCATCGAATAAAACAGATATCAACTGTCAATACAAAATATTTTCGATGGATACCTCAAGGACTTTTTGTTCGAAAACCAACATCGCAACATCTTCCTTCCAGTCATAGAAAAGTAATAAAAAATGCCAAAAATATGTATTACTTTAAAAGAATTGAACACTCCAAGAATAAACAAAACGAAACATGGAATATTATCAATGAATTGAGAGGAAAGCATATGACCGTGTCAAAAAAGCCAACTCTCAACTCAGATGAATTGAACTCATTTTATTGTTCTGTGGCAACTAAACTGGTTGAAAAAATCATTGTAAAAAACGATCCGCTGTCATACTTGAAGAATATTGCAGTACCTTCTACTTCTTCTTCACACCTACAAATATCTATGAAATAAAAGAAATGTTTGGTGAAATCAAAAATAAAAATAATGCTGTGGGGTGGGATGCCATTTCCTTAAAAATTCTGATAACTCTTCTGTCTGAAAATTGCCACAATCATTCCTCTACATAAAGGAGGTTATCTTGACAACCCAGCTAATTTTAGGCCAATTGCTTTGCTACCCGTCTTGCCTAAAGTTATAGAAAAACTGGTAAAAATACGAGTAATATCCTTCCTCGAGAAAAACAATATAATAAATTTATTCTAGTCTTCAAAAGGTACACAAGACGCCATATTTTCACTCCTGGAAAACCTGTACACCAATCTTAATGATTAAGAATATGCAGCGGCCATGTTTTGGGACCTAACCAAGGCATTCGATTGTGTAGACCACATACTACTTCTTTGCAAGGTAGAAGTTTACGGATTTAGAGGATCTGCATTACTTTGGTTTGAGAACTACCTTTCTCATCGGGGGCAGAATGTTCAATTAGATGGAATTTCATCAGAGGAACGTTTCATTGGCAGTGGGGTCCCACAAGGTTCCGTTTTGGGATCTTAGGATCGGTGTTGTTTCTCATTTATGTCAATGACTTAGTACATGTTGACATAAGTGGTAAATTCACATGTTTCGCTGACGACACCACTATCCTCTGGCATAGCAATACCTCCTAAATTTACTTGATCAAATCATCGTCGACATAAGAAGGGTAAAAGAGTGGTGTGATTCCGATCTTTTATCATTCAACAACATCGACAAAACAAATGTTTCGTCGATGTTGAATGATAAAAGATCGTTTAGATGTAACATAGATGTTAACATGATCGTTTAGATGTAACATAGGGGAAGTACACTTGGAAAATGTAAAAATTGAAAATTTAAAAAAAAACAAATTTTTAGGGCCTTCATCAAATCTTAAATTTGATTCCCATGTCGACTACTTATGTAAAAGATTAGCAGCAGGATGTCATACAGTGAGAGTTGTTACATGAGAGTTAGACACTACTATTAAAAGATCAGTTTATTTTGCAAAAATTGAGTTCTATTTAGGTTATGGAATTTGTTTCTGGGGAAATTGTGCACAATTTCGTTTCAATATGGTATTCTCCCTACAAAAAAGATCCAACAGATATTTATGCAAGGCTACAGGGATTCATGTTGCCCATTATTTGTGAAACAAAAAATTCTGACCTAAGTTTGTCTTTTTATTTTGGAAACAGTGTGTCTTATCCAAAAAAATATAAAAACCGTTTTAATACCACCTTAACTTATAGTTCACGTCAGTCTTACTTAATTTCCCTTTCAACACCTACTCTAGCCCTCACACAAAATTCTATTATTTTCAATAGCAAGAAGTTATTTAACCACCTTCCCATTAATTTAAGGCGAATATATAATGAAAAGAAACTCAGAAAGAAAGTAAAATAATTTCTTGTTGGGAGGCTCTATCGAGTAATTGGCATGTAGCTGTGTGTAAACAAGTTATTGAAATCAACAAGAAATGGCTATAAAATTGCATTTTATAATTACATTTACTCAATATTCATATATTCATGTACTTATATTTGTATCTTTCAGCTGGGCTTGATATTGTTCTGTCCCTATGCTCTGCTATTGTCTCCAAGCATTATTTTATAGTTTATACTTGTTAATTTATTGTCCCATATTCACATTTGACTTTACTAGACTTTACCAATATGATGTTCAGATCTTGTGTAATTAAGCATATTTTGATTTAATTGGATTTTATTGCAGAAGGTATTTTTATAGTATTTCACTGTTATTGCTCATGAAAAATCTTGATATTAGAAAAAATATTTAAATTATTGAATTAAGGATGAACTTCCTACCTACCTTCAAAGTTAACATGCTTGAGAACTTGTTTATATAATGTATACTTACATGTTTGTTTGTTTACATATTCATTATTATTCTCAGTATCTCAGTTTTTCAAATCTGCATACAAATCAGTTGGATAATCATTATATTAGGTATAAATTGACATGTTCGATACCATGTAGTTGGTCTATGAATGAATAAATTTATTTCTTTCTTATGATATTACACAAATGGACCCCAAACCCACATCTTGCGGTACACCACAATATTCATATTAATCAATAATTATTATTATCACACACTAACCTTCACTAGAGCACCTGCTCAACAGAGAGGAAGCCTGAGCTCTCGCTGCTGCTGCCATCTCGGTTTCTCCAATTTTAACTGCAATATAATGTAAATCCATAAAGAGATCATGATGACTGACATCAACAGCCAAAAGAAAAGCAGTTTCAAACATCTCTGCCCTCACCAGTTGATGAAAAAAGCGCCTTGTCAAAGATATCACCTAAGAAATAAAAACCAATTTATTATCAATTAAACCTATGAGAAAATTATTTTACGTTCCTTCAAAATCTCACATAAACCTACCTGATTTCCATACCTATGTCTTATCTGGGGTTTCAAAGGCACGGGACTGTTGTGGTAACTACCCAAGGCATTCTGCAAATGTTGGGCCACTTCCTCCGTTAATGGTTGCCTCATTAAATAAGCTACAATTTTCTGAAGAGCGAAAAAACTGTCTTCCTTGAACTCCCAGCTGAGCAGTAATTTGATGGCTTCATCTACTTTACCGAGAGTCAAATAATTCTGCACAATAGCTTTGAAACTCAAAGATTTGTCCGTATGTGTTACGACAGCTATAGGACCTTGTTCAAAAGAGATCATCAAATCTTTAGGGCCCCAATTGATGGATGCAACACTAAACTGTGTTGTAAAATAACTGGATAGATTTATTATTAGCGTCGGTGAACAGTCTTCGTTGAGGAACTGGCTCCTAAGGCAGTTTAGAGAAGTGTCGAAATATTGCAGCTGTCCTTTTTCATTTGAGATTGCTATTACAGCGCCATCTGGATGCCAGGATGCCATTGTCGGAATAAAGGAAGCTTTTACAGTTCTTGTAGATCCTCTATTGCGATCCAACAGTGCCAGAGAACCATCTATGCAGCAAATAAGGAGACGATCCTCAAGGTAGCTCAAAGCAGAGCAGCTTACTTGAGTTTGTAGAGGTACAGAAGTTACTGAAACTCTCTTCAAATTATTTCCCACTAGTTCAAAATTGCTGACTTCCACGGATACTGATCCTGAAATTAACATAAAAAAATGTGTTTTCACACCATAAGAGATGTCTGAATAATATTCATATCTCATGCTGGAAAAATTAATTAATAAATATTGAAAAAAAAATATATCTTTGAAAGTTTCTGCTTTGTAAAACAGTTTTTGGTTTCACCTAACTATTGATCAAAGAAGTAAACTAATTTATTTAATTATTTATGGGCAAGCCCATTTGAAATATAAATTACAATATTAAATTATAATTAAAATAATAATCAAGATATAATTGAAATTAAATCAAATAAGGTACTGAAATACAAATTGAAACTAAGAATAGCTTAAAAAGGGTTAATTTAACGTTTAAAAGGAGTAAATTCAGAGTATAAAATGGCAAAAAACAATGAGCATTAATAGAACATACCACATATACTACCTCAAACTATACATTGAAACACAGTATTCCGTAATTAAGTTTTAAAATAACGCAGGAGATGTTGAACACCTCAGGATCAATGTTACTCAATGGCTAATCGTTACTCAATGGCTAATCGTAAGATTCTTGGAATGCAGCTATTGAATGTGTGGTTTGAAAGATAAAATGGTACATAAAATGTTTGTTGCTGTCGAGTTGAGCGGTTTTGAACATGTAGATACATTTTTTCTGGAAGTTCAGCACAACTGCATTTCAATAATATTGTCTCTCTATTTCCTCCTAGTTTTCATGGGGGACATGCTCAGAGATTGCAGTAGCAACTCATACTCGCAACAAACACTTGATTTATATGCTATGTATCTGAGGATGTTGTGTTGGACACTTTTGATGTTCTTGATATAAGTTACACAATGAGGAGACCAGACAGAAGAACAATACTCCAGGTGTGGACAGACCAGTGAGCAATAATGGGCTTTAATAGTAGTTGGGTCAGTGAATTCAAGGGTTAGCCATTTGATAAACCCTATTATTTTCATGGCTTTATGGATAGCCATGGGTATATGTTGATTGAAGTTTAAGGTGGGATCAAGAACAATCCCAAGGTCTTTTATTTGATTAACAAACTCCAAGACATGACCATTTAAGGTGTAATCAAAAGTGGTAGAAGGTACATGGGATTGATGAAAGCACATGACATGGCACTTTGTGGCATTCAACTCCATGCCATTTAAGGAGCACTAGTTTGATAGATTGTCAAGGTCAGACTGAAGCCTGTGGGCATCCAGAGGTTTTAATAATTAGGAAGTTTCAATAATTCTGCAAATAATAGTGCTGTGGCGTGCCGGAAGCAAAGAATAATGTCGTTAATAAATAAATTGAATAATAAGGGGCCGAGGTGTGACCCCTGAGGAACACCAGAGGTTACTTGGAATAATATGGAGTAGTGATAATTTACTCTAATCATTTGAGTCCTATTCGTAAGATAGCTACTTATCCATTCCAATAGTACCCCACTTACACCGTATCTGTTGAGCTTTTGGAGTAAGAGATTATGGTTGACCCTGTCAAACGCCTTAGAGGAGTCAGTGTACACAGAATTAATCTGGCAGACCTTCTCCAAAGAGTCTGACAGGAAGTGGGACAAGGTAACTAGGTTTAATTCAGTCGATTTCCCAGCACAAAAACCACATTGTTGTTCAGTTAAGATGCCAGAGCAATCATAGGTGAGGTAATCTGCCAGAATGTTCTCAAATATCTTGGGAATTGTGCTAAGAATATATATCGGTCGGTAATTGTAATAGTTGTTTCCAATAATCTGGAAACACACCTGACTGGATGGGTTTATTGAAAATAAAGAAGAGAGAGCGAGACAAAATGGAGCTACAATTTCTGAATATAACCCACCTCTCTGCGTAACCCTTTGTTCAATCAAAATCAAATTTCTATTCTTGAATTTACTGACAACCACTTGCAGAGGTTCACCATCCGTCTTTTTATATGAGAGCAATTCTGGATCTCTGGATCCAATCCAATAAAGGTGTAGGTTTGCTCTTTGGTGATCTTTGGCCAGGGGACTCCATGGTTGAGGATGCTCAGCCCCAGCTTTACCCCACACTGCGAGCCAATCTCCATGGTAATTGAGTTTTCTTCTTGGACCACCTTCCAACACCCAACCATCTTTCCATTGTCCCCCATAACCTAATACATGGCCATCGTTACAAATGCATATCACTTGGTTGCCAAAAATCGTACCTGCAATTAAAGAAAATAGGCAGATTATTTTCAACAATAAAAACCTTCTTTTAGAATAACAATAATCTTAGGATATCACTTTTCACAACAAAATTTTCTGTCGTCTACATTTAAATTCTGACACAGATGAACCACTAGCAGAATCACTTTGTATTTTCACATTTATTTCAAAGTCATACACATTTATTTCAAAGTTAGACTATGCCATAATTTTAGGCTCCTATTTACCCTTTTCACCGATTTTCTGTGTGTTGTTTTTTTTTCAATTTGTGGGAATCACATGCTTTACCATCAAGCTGACCGAACCAAACCAAATTACTTCGCTTCATTGAAAATTTTGAACTTGTAATAATACTGAGTTGAACAATTTTTTGCTTCAAGTGTGAACTGAATATTAGGGTAACTTCCTCAAACAGACATGGCAGAAAAGGCAATAATTTTTTGTAAACATTTTTCAAGAGAGAGGAAGATAGAAATATTTCGAGAATTTTGAGTTCATATCAAGCTCTTATTGCTCCCTAGCTCCAGTTATTAATGTTTATTTTTCAAATCAGTAGGTTCCGAAAGCTTTAAGAAATTTAAATCCTTGACTTTTTGGGAATCTTGAATTTGCAATGATTTTAGGCTACTTACCTACCGTGTTGAACAGTTTTTAGCTATTTGTTTGTCTTGAATAACTGGGTAGTTACCTCAGGAACACAACAAAAATGGAAATAATTTTTTGAAAATATTTTTCAAATGTGGGAGAGATAGAATTGTATTGAGAACTTTGGGCCCTTCTTGGGCTCCTATTATCAATTTTCATATAACGTTTTTTGTAATCAGTGTCTTATGCTGGCTTTATCGTTAAGCTAGTATAAATCCTTCACCTTTCAGAAATTTTTGATTAGCAGTAATTTTAGGTTCATTTTAAGCTTCTTCATCATTCTATTGGACAAAAGGGTAATGAAGAAGTTTGAAATATTGCAAGTTCAAAATTTCCAAAAGTAGAGAATTTCGATTTGGTTCTACCGCCTTAAAGGTAAAGTTATCAGAACTCATTGATTTGAAAAAAAAATGATGTGAAAATTCGGCGGTGGGAGGAAATTCAGGAAGAATATTTTCAAAAAGTTGCTTCCACTTTTATCATATGAGTCTGTGGTAATGAAAAATAACACAAACATTACAATTTTCAAAAAAAGGGAAGAGTTTCGGTTCAGCTCTACCAGCTTAACAGCAAAGCTAGCAGAACCCAATGATTTCAAAAAATATATCATATGAAATACCGAAGATGGGGGGCAATGTAGGAAACATATTTTAAAAAAATTACACATTCAGAATATTGAAAATGTGAAGCATTTTGGTTTGGCGGTGCTAGCTTAACAGCAAAGCTGGAGGTACTTGCTGATTAAAAAAATATCATATGAAAAATCCGCGATAGAGAAAAAAATAAAAAGAATATTTTCAAAAAATATTCCCAGCTTTGATCGTGGGTGTCTGAGCTAATCACCCAAATATTCAACTCAGACAGATTTCATTTTGCCAGCATAACAGTAAATCAAAATGTTTTTTCCCAAAAAGTAATCACTCCTCAAAAAAATTATATTTTTTCAATTATCAATTTGTTAGGAACAACTGTCAATTATTTTGGTCAAAAAAGTGTAAATTCTGCTTTCAAATCTAGAAAACCCCAAGTCTTTCAAGCCAGATATGACGATAAACACATGTATGCCAGTACACTACAAAAAATGCAAAATCGCAAACAAACTATAAGTGGCTCAACAGCTTACCATCACAAATAATATTAACCTGAAGTTTAGCTGAAAACTGTTTATCAAAGGTTATATTACTAGGATCTCCAGTTTTACTGTTCAGCTGAATTGTCACCAGCATTCCTGTGGACAATAAAATTTTCAAAGAACATTCCTCCCAATTAAAAGAAACTACTCGGTTGTGAACTAAATGATCCTCAAATTCTTTCATCCTTTCTCGCAACTTCTGTGGCCTTTTGTTGGGGAGGTTCCAATATATTCCTCGGTTCTCAGAATACAGCTTTTTGCTCTGGCCATAGAGGGAATCACCTCCCTCCTTTTTTATATAATACCTGTAAATATGAATCAGGTAAGAATAATATTCATAATTTCTATAACTACAACTCACTTATAAGACCCATAGTCTGTACTTTTTATTATTATATCCTCTTGGGTGGTCCAAAAGTGAATCTCACTAAGAAGAGTTATCATTTTAGTAATGTTTTTTATGATAATCCTACATTATTTGAGTAATTGTACTTATAAGTGCTCATCCTCTCATAACCATGTCATGACCTTTCTGAATAGAGGCTATCCTATTATGTTTTCATTTCAGGTTGGATAAATCCAGTAAATATTTTTACCATGTGACATTTTCTTTAAAAATTTCGAAATATGACAAAAATGATATGTTAGTGGTCTAATTTATTTAAACAATTATACAAATATTCGTGAATTTTTTTATTATCAAAAAGTTTGAGTATTCCACCAGTGTTGCCAATCCCAGCCTAAACTAAAACCACAAGCACCGTATAAAAGTAAACTATACGGTGCCCCAAGTATAAGCTAATGCCTTAGACAATGCTAGTGCCTTAGACAATGCTAGTGCCTTAGACAATGCTAGTGCTATTGGCATAATGCGCCTGAATGGAAGCAAAAACCAACAACATAGAGAGAGAATACTAGTGCTAGTTCTTTAAACATTATACTTGTGCCAAAACCGTTTAAATGATTTGAATCTTACAATCAAACGCTTACACCTTCAATCGAAATGAACTTGACAATTCAATATACATGGTGGCGAAAGTGCAAAAACACAGATTTAGGGTATCCGCTTTATTTGTAAACCAGTGTGTTTTGAGCCTCTGTCTTGATATACTGTGTCAAAGCTATTCTCCGGAATTTTTTGCCGTGTTCTGCAGGATTTTATGCCTGGCGTTTCGTATACTACTGCGGTAGACATTATTAAAGGCGATAAGGTAACGGTAACACAGAGTCAGATAATCCGTGAGAAATGAAGCCACGCTTACCTATGATAATATAAAACCGGAGACAAATTTCAACATTGTAGTTTAATTGCGTTCGACCTGCCCCGGAGCCTGATCCGGTGGATTGGGTATTTCCTGAAAGACAGAACATTCCAGGATAGAGTAGTGAGCTCTCTATCTGACAACAGAGAGATCCTCGCTGGAGTGCCACAGGGGACCGTGCTCTTTTCCACGCTGTACTCTTTTTACACCAGTGACCTTCCGAGGTCTGAGCGTGTGAAGATATCTCTATACGACGACGATACGGCTCTCCTCTCATCTTCCATGGGTCGGGAGCTCGGGATCGTCTACATGCAACGTGCATTGGACGACCTCGAGCGCTGGTACCTCGAATGGAAGATCCGAGTGAACCCGGATTATTATCTTCTCCGGCCAGAAAAGTGAGAATCTCTGGAAAGAAGATCGACAGGTAAACGCGGGTAAAGTACCTCGGTGTTCTGATAGACCATAGGCTCACCTGGAACCCGCACATCACAACCGTGAAGGCAAAGATCGAGGGTTGGATCAGAAGTATATACCCTCTGATCAACAGATGTTCTGAAATGAGCCTTAAAAATAAGCGTACGATCTACAAAATGATGTTCAAGCCTGTCATCATGTATGCTTCAGGCGTCTGGGGAAAAGCGGCTCCGTCTAACATCTCCATTCTGGAGAGATTACAAAACAAGTTAATACGGATGATTGTGAATGGTCCGTGGTTCATGCGGAATGAAGCCATCCACAGAAATTTGCAGCTGCCTTCCATTCAGCAGTCCATTCAATCGAGGAATCGGCAAGTTTTTGATAGCCCGGAAACTCACGAAAATCCGTTAATTAGGGAAGCTATAGATTATGCTGTAGACGACCCTTCCCGATATAGAATGTCCCGACACTCTGTCGAATGAGGCCCTCATGTCTTCCGTTAACGGATGAACATATTTTTTCATCCATCCCACCCCAGGCAGGTAGAAGTACCTCGTGAAGGACGGTACCTATGTCTGAGTACTTTCATACCGCCGCCACCTCTTAGTCATGAACCCATTTATCATTCTGACACAAATCAGCTATAAGAGTAAGGAAGCTGGGCTCTAACCTGATTGAACTGAAGACTCTTGGTTAGTAACATTGTAGTTTCCGCGTTGAGAACTACTCGTCGACCGTTACATCATCGCCTTAAATAATGCTTACCACAGTAGTAGACGAAACGTTAGACATAAAAAAATCTGCAGACCATAGCCAAAAAACGCGAAAAATATCTTTGGCACAGTTTTCTTCGGCCATGAAATTTTACATTCTTTGTTTCGATATAGTTCAATTATTTTTGGTAGATTTTTTTCATGGTGAATGGTGCTTCGCAGAAATAATACAAGCTCTCCCGACTTTCTGAAACTAGTTTGAATTTTTCGCACTTAGTTATCGATGTTTAACATTGATTTGTATTGATATTTTCATACTTGCTCTTCATTCTGAACCTTACATATTTATTTATTATTATCGAGATGAAGTTATAATCAACAAAATCTTCACCAATTCAGTAGGAGAATTAATATAACAAAGACAAAATTTAACTCCCAATGATGACTATTTTTTATATAATGAGATAAACATTGTATTTGTCTCTAGTTCACAACATTGAAAGCAGGGAAAGTATCACTTATTGTGAATTCTCAATGAACAAGGATAGAAATTCTTCTTTTTTTGTTCTCTCATAACCTCTGCTGCTAAGATCCCTCAGCCAAGCTTGACAGTTTTTTAACTTCTCTTTTTAGAAGAAGATAGTTTGAGATGACGAAAGGTTTTCGAAGGGTTGGTGTGTTTTTAAATTAAAAGTCAGTATTTTCAACTATGAACATAAAATACTTTTTTCTCTGTATATCCATTTTCCTCACTACAATAAATGCATTACCAGATGAAGGTAGATGGAATTATAATTTGACAACAGTAAGTTAAAATTCCAAAGATTAGTTAACACTTTATAAGCTATTTATTTTAGCATAATGGCAGCATATATCTATCCAAGAGTTTGTATAAAAACTCCGAAGTATTCATACAGAGTAAGTTACATCTGTCCCTCCTTTTCGAAATATATTTCATTTGATATATGTTTCAGTAAACTGTGATTCAAAAATTCCTGAGTCGAAAGTTGGTATAAACCTTGCCATAGTACAATCTGCTTGTTGGGATATTACTGAGGCATATGCAATCATACAAAAAGTAAGAGAACTAGAATAGAAAACTAAATAATGTTTTACAAGATTTGGTCAATTATCAACATTATCAAGACTGATTCATGGATTGGAACTTTAGCACTTTACGTGCCCTAAACAAGAAAGTTTTCAAGATTTTTTCTATTTTACCCAAGTTGATACTATGGGTTAAAATACAATGTGATGTTTATTCAAAAAGCATTGATTGAAAAACTAAATGAATTAACCATAAAGTCAAAAACTGACCCAGAATTTGTCAATTGTTGGAAATAGTAAATGAAACAGGGATTGCTTGTCTTGATTGGCTATATTTAAGGAATAATTCCATAATTCCTCAAGAGATGAAACAATAGTTTTTTACATGGATATGTGGTGTTTGATGAGTGGTATTCATAAATGAAAACTAATGTGGGAACTGGGATCTGTTTAAAATCTGTTTTTCCATTAATACTTAATTTATAAATCCAGCTTGTTATTATTTTCCCAATATAGTGCAGATATAAAAAGTAACCTTTCCTCCTCCCAACTTCTGAATATACAACACCCACCTTGATATAAGGGGTTTGTTGTAGAATGATAGATAAGTGAGCAGTATAAAAGATGTGGTCTTACTGAGGCATAATATAATGCTTTGAACGAGTCTATATTTGTAAAATCAGCAATTATTTTTTTGATGAATCTCAGAACTTCCAAAGCCTTATTTTATGGTGAAGGAAATACCTTCTTTATGTGTGGAAATCGTTGGAATGCTAATAGATCTCAATGGTCTTACTATGAAGTCGTATGTACTAATATGTTGATTTAGACAGGACAACAGTTCTTTCATATTTTAATATGTGGTCTGTTTCTACTAGGACATGTTCTGCAATTGCAGATTTTTGTGGTTACATGAAACAACAGCTACGCTTGTATTCTGTAATCTTGGTGTCAATGCTCCGTTTGGTAGTTCCGATGTAAATTGAGCCACAAGAACAGGGAATTTTGCAAACACTGGCAGATGTCGAAGGCTCCCTTTTGTCCTTGGCCGATTTCATAGTATTGCGTAGTTGGTTTGTAAATAGTCTTTATGTTATGACATTCAAATAGTTTTCTGGTTGAAAATGAAGTGTTTATTCTTCTAGGATGTAAAGCACATTGATTTCTTGCACTGCAAAAACTATTGACCTGCAGGACTTGGTCTAGATTTTGTAATTCTTCAAGAAGATGTGGTTCACTAATCTTGGTGGCACTATCAACAAGTGTTTCAACATAGCACATTTTTGCCTTGTATAGTAGTTTGAGTCCTATTATTGAATATTTCATGTAATTACAAGTAAATCTGTCTTGATTCAAATGTTAGCTACAAAATCATTTAAATTGGCCAATTGGTTTACCAATTCTAAGTTAAATTTTCAAATTCTCTATTTCTTCTGAGAAACTACATTTTCTAGAACATATTTATTACAATGGCTAACCGAGATTGTAGTAAAGATGGTGAGACTCCTCTCACAACTGTATGTATGTATATATGTATTCTATTAGTGTAGAAGATAAATTATAGCCACTCTTATCAATATTACTGCTATTGACAAATTCAATTTTTATCTGTCCCCATAAATAGTGAAAGAAATAACATTACAATAATTGAAAACGTGACAAAAATAAGTGTATAGTTACCCTAAAAATGTGTTATATTTCAGGAATTGCAAGCAACTTCAGGATTTTCAAATACTCCCAAAATATACCACGAAAATGAAATATATCAATGCAATGATAATATCTTCATCAGACAAAGTGAACCTTCATCCGATAACTCTCTGGAAAGAATATCCAGCGAAAATCCCATTCACACCATATTGCACGATGGTGTCTATGTCTTGGGATTGGTGACGAACATAAATTCAACAGATAGTAGCATCGGTGTGCAAATCAAAATGAAAAGTGATTACGGATACCTGTCAGCTGCAGATTGGCCCCTTCTGCCATTCTATGGTTTTATGTGTATTTATTATGTAATCTTGGGTTTGATATGGCTGTTCCTCTCTTTCCTGCAGTGGCGAGATTTATTGAGGGTCCAATTTTGGATTGGCGGAGTGATACTACTCGGTATGCTCGAAAAAGCAACATTTTACGCAGAATATCAAAGCATAAACAATACTGGTGTTCGGGTACAGGGAGCAATGATTGTTGCTGAATGGGTATCCTGTGCCAAAAGAACCTTGGCAAGAATGCTGGTGGTTATAGTGAGCCTTGGGTTTGGAATTGTGAAACCTAGGTTGGGAGCCACTTTGCATAGAGTAGTAGGTGTTGGGCTTTTGTATCTATTTCTAGCTGCTTCGGAAGCCTACTTGAGGATAACCAGGGCAAAGAACGATCCTAGCAGGGACATACTAGTTGCTTCAGTCCCCTTGGCAGTTCTAGACTCTGCAATATGCTGGTGGATCTTTTCAGCCCTAGTCAATACAACAAGAACCCTAAGATTGAGGCGAAACGAAACAAAACTCAATCTCTACAGGCATTTTACAAACACCCTGATTTTTTCTGTAGCGGCTTCAGTGTTTTTCATGCTATACTGCATCAAAGTTCACCATTTTGTTGACTGTTTGGTAGTTTGGAAAGACATCTGGATAGAGGAAGCTTACTGGCACATTCTCTTCTCTTTGCTCTTGCTGGTGATAATGATTTTGTGGAGGCCAACTAATAACAATCAGAGATACGCTTTTGTTCCGTTGCTTGATACTGGAGACGATGAGGAAGAAGAACAGCTCGTGAACGACGCTTACGGGGTGAAGGTCAGGGTTCATCACGTTAGAAATTCAACCCCTCCGAGGGTAACGATTGAAGACGATATCAAATGGTTGGAAGAGAACGTCAAAAACGATCCTGCCCTCCCAATATTAGATTCAGATGAGGAATTAGTTAGTACACGTTTTGAGGTTTCAAAAATGCAATAAAACTTAAAGTTATCTTAAATTTATTTTCTCACATTGCCTATCTTTTGTGATCCAGAGAAAAAAATTGAATGTTCTTACTGGAGTTCAAAAGATGAAGACTGATTTTTTGAAAACACTTTTTGAGGAAGATGAAGATTTTCAAAAGAACTCTCACAAGAAATGGAAGGTATTAGAAAAAAGTGATATATTGTCTTGACCGATTAGAAAAGAATGTGTCATAAGTCTTGGGTTTTGCCATGAAGAAAACAGGTCTATAAATGACTTGAATGCTTAGTTATGATGTATTGTCTTGTGAAAATTTCAAATGGTGTCTGTTAAATATTTATAGCTAATTGGCAACAAAACTTGATGAAAATATGTCAGAGCTTGCATACACTTTTGAGAAAACAAATAGGAATCTATCGTGAGTACACCCAACAGCCCAAACATCATTGAATTCTTGTGGGTTTAGTTTGACTACATTGCCAAATTACATGATTACTGAGATATTAATGTAAGGTGTACAACTCAAGTTGTTACATTAATGAATGTCTGGCATTTTGTTATACGCTCTATTTGAATGCAATTATTTTTCACGATATAGAGGGTTTTGTTCCACCTCTTTTGTTTTATAATATATTATTCTGGTTTCAATGTCTAGTTGATAGATTGTCTTCCAGAAAATATGTTAATATCCATATATTGTTGCTTTTTCATAATTATGTGTAGTTTTGCAGACATAGTTATTTTAATGTTCAATGTGATGTACTAGTCAACCTCCGTCGAATCAATATTTTTACATACACTGGAGAATAATACAGCGTGATAGTGATTCAGAATTCATTTAGCACGTGCCGGAACTGCGAAATAATTTTTCTTCGTCCTCTATTCAGCTCCCAGTTTGGGAAATTGTCAATTTGCATCTGTCAAATTAATTTCACTACTATATTTCTTGAACTTCAGGTTTCCTAGATTCCTCAATAAACTTCACATACTGTGTTTTGGAATGGAGCCGAATTGAATATGCAGGTAATAAAGCCAATTTTTTGTAAAATGCACCAGAAATTAACATTATCAAGATCTTCTTGTTATTGTTTTGTAACTTGAATAATTTAGGACCATCAACGACTAATAACTGACTGATGATTTCAGACTTACTGATTCACAAGTTTTAGATATTTAAATCCAAATTTTCACTCAGTAAGGTCAGAAAACTTCAAATCTTGGAAAGGGATGGATTAATAGATCAACAAGATGTGATTTAATTGATAATCCTAATCATTAGGATCATCAATATTCAGCCTAGGATACGAGGATAAAAATTGAGGATCAGATCATATTCAAATATATTTGAATATGTATATATTTATTTTTTTGATTATGGATTATGCCAACTTGATTAGCAAAATATTACTTGAAAAGAGTATTTTGCAAATCTGATATTTTAAAAAAATCATTATTGATTTTGTGTTTGACACCTACCCCGCTCGTGATTTTTTTTTTATTCCTTCTGATAGGTAGAACCTTTTTTCAAAACCATTTAAGATAGATATAGAATTCAACTATAAAACAAAATATTTGTAGGTCTTTTAATTGTTTCTATAAAATTACAGCCAGATCCAGTGATATATCAAGGAGGTTTATTTTTATTAGTACTTACTCGGGTATGTTATTTTAATTTATGGAGTTGTTACTTGAATGATAGCTTTAATAGCACAACTAGAACAATATTATAATTCAACTTATTGATAGGAATGCATTGTATATATTTATAATCTGAATTTAGCTTTATTTTGAACACATTCGTGTATAAAAATTGTAAATTGTATATTATTCATTAAAAATTCCTGAAAGGATTTTGGAGTACATTTTTTATATTGTGAGATAATCCAAACCAATTCGTGAGGTAATTTATCTGCAGAGAAATTAAAAAGAGGAAAAACAATACAAATAGTTCGTACTTTACGATTACACTTTATTTAAAAACAAATATCACAAAATCGTCATACATAAAATCAAGAACGGAAACTAAACAGATCTAAACAATGATTTTAAAATACAGTATTTGATAAAAATACAGTGCGCTAAATAAAACGGGTAATGAAAATTTGGCAGTTCACTTGCTTCCTTCGGTTTTTCTCTGAATAATCTATAATACTAAATCAGTTTGAGGTAATGAACCAGTTTCATTCATAAGTAATCGAATTGAAAAAGAAAAAATCATGCAAGGGTTTTTCCAAGCAGTTCCTTTATTATATATTGTGTTCTTCAAAATTCAGATGAAACAACTTTGATAACCCTTGAAATAGTTTTGTTAGACAGTTAACCAATCCCCATTCCTGTAAGTTCATCACAATAATGACTGTATGAGTAAAGAAGACATCTCCCCTTATAAAGATACCATCTATGGGATGGACTTATTACTAAATAATTATTTCATTTTAGAATCCTTGTTTCAGCTAATTTTTGTCAACAGCGTTCTGTATTCATCGACAATGAAGCATTTTTTTATTGACTGATTTGCACTGGATTGCTTCGTTTCACTCAACTGTAAAGTGATCTATGAGCGAATTGTAATTTACAGATGTATATATTAATTGAACAGTGGCTTAGTAAAGTAAAAGATGGTGTTTTGTGAAATATTTAAGAAAAACTGTTTTTCAGAGTAAGTTTTTACATAATCCTAATGTGTTGATATAACATTTTCAATTTATTTCCTCATTCAATTTATTTCCTCATCACCAGAATTTAAATTTTAGTACAAAAATATGTTCAAAAAATCGCCCAAAAAACCCTGCCTGAGATAGAAATATCAAAGTTGATTGCTGGGGGGAAATTATTCAACAATTTCGAAACTTGACAAATTTGAAATTCTTTATGGGAGAGACGAAAAGAAGCCTGTTACTTTAAATTTTTGTCACAAATTCTAATACAAACTTTATAATCCTAGCAATGTGATATGTTCACTGTATGAAATAACTTAATTTGATTTTTGACTGATTAACAATAATATTACAACTTTTCACAGTTAAAAGTTCAGATATTTAAGGTGTTTTGATACGAGGCTGAGTTGATAAGTGATCAGCAAGAGATGGCGCTGCCACTAACACCACCATGTCATTCTTAAATATTAATATTGAGATGACTGCTCGTCAATTTTCAGACATATTGAAGTTATTCAGTTTGTGTTCGAGACATTGAAAGTCAGTTAAGTTGAGTCAGAGAAAGAGAAAATTGAAGGATGTTTATGATGACTGTGTTCCTTCAATATCAACAATAAAATACTGGGCAGCAGAATTAAAACAAGTTCAAACAAACATTTTTGACAATGAGCTGAGGCAGTGGGCATTTCAAATGAACGGGTACTTATTGTTTGGGTATGCAGAAGCTCTCTGCCAAGAGAATGCCATACCTGCTATCTGTTAAAAACATTATAGCCAGACCGTTACAGTTATTTGCTATGCTTAACTACAATTAGAAGGATTCCATAAGCCATTTTGTAACCAAATACGAAACATGAACTCATTTTAATATGCCAGAGATCAAGGATAAGTCGAAACAGTAGATAACAGCTCCTTGCGAATGGAAGCCTAAGAGAAACGTTTGTTTATGAAAAAAAGAGCTTTTCCTCTTCCACCAAGACAATGTATATAGCCATCCACAATTCATGAATTGTGCTATGAATTAGTTACCATTCATCGTTTTCTCATGGAAAGAGGAAATACAAGCATATAGTAAGTCTATATAATTCAAACCAATAAAAATATTTATACGTACATATACACACACATATATATGAAGATATGCTAAAAAACAGATGTTTACCCCAATAAGGAAAATGTCCACATGTATAAAATGAGGAGGTAAGAAATAAAAATATAAAAATCAAGAGACGAAAATTACACAAAATATTAAATGGTGTAAGTTATTGCAGATGCTAAATGAAACTTGTAATTTAGTTCGACACCAACATTAACTTAGGGTACGATGTATTTTAGAGTAATTGTTAGTGGAAGTTATCATCATATAATTCGTCCACACTATAATAGGGTATATCTGAAAGTAAACCTTTGATTGCTTTTCTAAATTCTGAGAAGATTTCTATACATTTAACGTCGTTTGACAGGTGGTTGAATATTTTTAGGCCATTGTAAATTACTGAGCTTTTAGTAAGTGTCGAGGAGGAGTTAGAGGAGACCAAAGGAAATTAATCTCTTCTCTACTTGTTTATCAAGCAAGCTGTTTCTAAAAGGAAAATTGCATGAACTGTCAAGAGAAGAGATAATGTATCACTCTACAAATGTATCAAGTACAAACACAGAATTCCTGGGAGTTCTAGAACATACTCCCCAGAACGGAATTCCATATCTCAAGTGAGTGTACTAGTGAATAGTAAACGGACTTAGCAGCAGAAAACCCTAATTATTCAGAAGTTATTCTTACCGCATAACAACCCGAAGAAAGTTTTTAGTAAGTTTTCTGATGTGATCTTCAGATGTCAAGTCATTATCTATGATAATACCCAGGAATTTAGTGCCTAATTTATTCTCAATAACACTTTCATGGATAGTAATTGGAAAGTTGTCAATGAAACCCGAAAATATATCAAATTGTTGATATTTGAAGATAAAAGATTAACATCGCACCAGTCCTTGATAATCCTGATATCTGAAGATATAAACTGGTGGAGATCTGAGGTATTTTTACTATGCCATAGTAATGTGATATCATGTGTGAATATTGGGAACTTTCCCTTTATATTCAACGATATCGGATCATTTACATGCAAAAAAAATATAATGGGACCAAGAATAGACCCCTGAGGGACTCCAATGTTTATACTATTATTTTCTATTTAGTAATGATATATTCTGCTACTACTATTCCAAAGTTTATCGCCATTAGTTATCATAAATTTTTTTTCAAGATCTCTAAGATATTAATATTCAACTGTGTGAATGTAGGCAATATGTTCAAAAACAAGCTTTTCACGAGATTCATTCTAGAAGACATGTTCTACTTATACCTAAGAAGTCTTATTCTGATTCACCCAAAGTACACCAATACAATAACGATAAAGAAAATGATTTTGAGAAAAAATTACGAAAACTACGGAATGAATAATTTCACCTAATATTTACAATAGTACGATAAATACTTATTCCTTTATATACATCTATTAAGTAATCTATACATGATTGGATATATACCAGAAGATCAAGCTTTTACTTAGTCACAGATATGGTCAAAATGACATTTTTAATTCAATCAATGATTGAGTAGCGACATGATGAATTTTTGCCACCTTTCTATAAATATTGTCAATAAAATATTTTTCAGTCAAAAATTTGAGCCATATCTGAAATCCTATCTACATTCAACAAAACAGATTCAGTTGAGAAAAATTCTCCATTCCCTTGTGAATCCAACAATTCACACCTAGAAGTAAATGCTGTTTTTTTCATCAATACTGATCCATTATTGCTTTCAACTACAAGAAGCTTCAATATTTTACGAACCAATTGAGTTACCAGCCACAGCCATAGCTGCCAAGTTTCAGTCGTCATGCATCCCCTTCCATAAATACCAAAAAAGGGCATCCCTGCTCAAAATACTCCATGGTGGAGAACCCCTTTTTCTGCCTGTTGTTCAAACTTTATGGTGAAGTTCACACTATTCTCATTTAGTGGTTTGCTGAATAATCAATTTGTTTTTCTGTCTAGTGACTTTGGCTTGAGGGGCCGGCGTCACAGATTGTAATTGTCTAGGCACAATCTCTTGCCTGGCGATCCTCATCCTAGTGATCAGACTGCTCGTTTTACTGAGCTGTTTACTGGCACTGCCGACTGATCTCGGGACCAGTTTGTTACCTATAAGTCTCGGAATGTCCTGGTCTGTCTCCTCATTTGCAAGGAGGCGCATCCAAAGATGGATGTTGTCTTCATGTTGCCTTTGTTGCACAGCTATTCTCCTTTCTCCTTCCAATCGTACTTCCTGCAAGGTATGGCTCAGGTTTTGGACTCTGGAAACCAACTTCTCGTTTTCATTTTCGTAATCGGCCACCTGCATTTCTAGTTTCGTACTACTACTACGTAAATCGACAACCTGCAAAATATAAAAATATATGATTTGTACAATAATGATGATAATATACATTTCTTTCATTGGGAAGTATACAATTTCTTTTACAAAAAAGATAGTATGCAGTAAGAAAGAAAACGTCACAAGCCTTTGGATGTGCAAGGCACACATAAGAGCCACACCATGTCTCACTAAGATACACAGGGCGCACTTGCAAGTCACAAAACCGATATTATCTGTTACAGGCCAGTGTTGGTGTTATCAGCACCAGCTAAACTTTCCGAGACTGTCATTGTCAAGCATATCTATAGATTATTTTCTCCCAAAATATCACTGTTCCAACATAGCTTCATGAAAGAAAGATCCACTGTTAGTAATCTTAGTAATGTTACATAATTTATAGCTGAAAACTTGGATAGTCTTGCTCAAGTGAACATTATATACACGGACTTTGATAAAGTCTCACATCCAATTCTAAGAATCCTAGAATATGATTTCGGTTTTCATCCCAACCTGATGAAATTTTTCAGTTCATATCTAACCAATCAAAAACAAAGTATTATAGAAGTGAAAGGGCATAAATCCAATCCATTTATTGCATTGTCTGTCTGACTTGAACATTTTTAGAAGAATATCAACAGTTGAAGATTGTGTACATCTCCAAAACAATATGAATAACATGTTTGAATGGTCAAAAAAGAACAAATTGTTATTCAACATTCAAAAGTGTAATACTATGACCTTCTCCTGAAAAAAGGTAAATATAACATACAGCCACGAGATGGATGGTATAAAACTCAACAGAACTCAAAAAATGACATACCTTGATGTTACTTTTGATTATGAATTATCATATACTGAATACTTATATATTTCATTTACCCAAGTTTAAATTAGCAGAAACAATGACCTTAACGCAATAAAATCAACTCTCAATCCTTCTTTCTTTCAAAGGTAAAGTTTCGCAGTGCAGGGTTGACGTTTTGATAAATATCCACTGTCACCCATATTGGTATTGTATCCTTTCTCATACCGTTATCCAGGTGCCTCTTCTAGAAGTCTGAAATAAGTTCCTGCATCCAGGGCTTCATAAATCATTTCTGGCACCTCATAACAAGGGACATTACAATAGTTCATCAGTTTTTTTATCAGCATACTTGTGCCGCAAGCAACCCCTTTCTTCTTCCAATCTGTGAGCCCAGTCTTTCATCTGGCTATTTTGAATGTCAAATCAATCCATTCAATATCTTCGACGATTTCAATGTCACCTTCATTAGACCAATCGTAAATCAGCATATCTACATGTTTGCTAATCTCTTTTAAATAATTTTGCTTGTATTGCTTCTCAATTTCTGCTAAATACTGTGGAGTCAATACTGCGGAATCCTTTTGGTAGCTGATAGCTCTTGTTTTGATTCTTTCCATGACCTTTGGTACTGGAACGTCCAGATATATGACTAAATGAGATCTCAGAAGTTCATGAATTGTGTTGTCCCGAATTTCATAGTACTTCTTACGAGCTGCTCTAGGCAGATATCCTTGGCAACACAAAATCTGAATAGACACATGTCTAGAATTACTTCTTCTCCAGTGCTCAAAACATGAGCAAGGGCATCAATGTACTGAGAGAACCTCACAATATACTGCTGTATCTGGAACCTGGCAGTGTTTCTGTACTTGGGATTCTTCAGGAAATTCATCACATCATGCGTCCTGCAACTTTCTGATATCAGAGGATCCAACTTCTCCAAATCGTAACCATAGCTGTTCATATAAATCATATATATCTATCTATCAAATATCAATTTGAATGTACCTGCTTATGAAACTAGATCGTTCCGCACAGTTTATATTGAATCGGCAAGAGCAAATTATTATCAAAATGCTCCATTAAATGCAATGTGCAATGCCTATAATAATGTACAAAATGACTGTGATATCTTCTTCCAAAATCTTGCTTTTTTTAGAAATAGGTTGTATCAAATTGTATATATAACTCTTGTTAAATATTTTTTTGTTCAACTTTTTTGTCATTTTGTTGTACTTAAGTACTATTTGTGATTTACCTTTCCTACTCTGTAACTGGTCCATAGCCTGCAGAGTTTGAATAAATAAATAATGTGCAGCACCAACCATACATCAACACCAAAAGGTGTGCATTTGAAGTGTTAAGTTAGGTTTGTAAAACAAAAAAAAAGTATAACAACATAGAACCTGGTAGTTTTTTTCTACTACTTGAGAACCTTCTGATTTGTTCGTTAGTCCCAAGTCTCCGGAAAACACTGCCTCATGGGCTTATTTCGTGACACCCATTCCAACAATCATGATCCCTTTAATAGTTTAAACAGGTACCCGGTTGTCCATAAATTGTTTGCCTCCAGTGAACCAGTGCCTCACATATGACGAGCTGTCTTTGTCCCTTTGTTGCATTGCCTGCAGTTGAGATCTCCACTGTACAGTCCTATTTTGTAGTATGTAAAAGCCAAATGGAATAAATTCATTATTTCGGTTACGGTACATATTTTAACAAAATCCCGAAACACGTCAAATTTAAATTATAATTTGACATACTTCAACGTAAAAATACCTTAAACCCCCATCGAATGAAAGTTACAACCCCAAATTTTTTAAATGGGAAGTATAGGCTTGTGATATATTCTTTGAAAGGTCTCTTCATTCTCTATTCAAACATGTTATCGCTCTCAAGTTTATTGCAACAATTAAGATAAAATAAATTAAAATCACGTGGTTACCGAAATTCGATAAAATGCACGCAAAACGTATTGCCATATACTCAAAACTTATTTCATGTTGAGGTATTGGTAATAAGAAAGTAAGCAAAAAACCATAGCAATGTTCTTTTTAGATGGTATCCTTTAAAAAACTGTAAATAATTTCCGTGGCAACCTTACTTTGAAAGACCTTGTCAACTTGTTTTGTATGTTACAACATTAGTTGTCAGTATTTTGATTTAAGTTTAAAGTTCGTTAACTTCAAGTCTGACAAACGATTAGATTAACGGAAATGCATAAGATAACAGTTTTACAAATGATTGGTTACGGAGATAAAACCCGAACACAATAGGAAGTAGCTCGCCAATTTCATGAGAAATTTCCTAATTTACCGCCCATATCTCAAGGAACAATAAGCAAAATAGAGAAGCAGTTTCGCGAGCTTCGTCATGCGGGGCAGATAAAAAAAGCAGCTGCCAATGCAATGAGTGATGAACTCAAATTAGATGTGATGCTTGAGTTTAGGAAAACCCACATACATCGAGTAGACAGGCATCCACTACATTCAATGTTAGCCATACATTGATAGTAAACATATTGAAAGAAAATAAAATGCATCCCTATAAAATGATACCTACTCAGGAGCTCATGGAAGGCGATTTTGATAGAACTTATTTTTGTGAGCAAATGATGGACATGTTGGACAACAATATCATCCAATTAGAAGACGTCATGTTTTCTGATGAGTGTACTTTGTCTCTTAACGGTCATGCTAATCGGCAAAATTGCCGCTACTGGTCAACGGAAATTCCTCACTGGATGAGAGAAGAACACACGCAATACCCTTGAAAGGTTAATGTTTGGGCAGGGACTGTAGGAAACCATATCATTGGTCCCTTTTTCATTGAGGGCAACTTGAATGGCAATAATTATTTGGCACTACCTACTTAAAAATGATGTCATTCCAAGTTTAGCAAATTTATATCCTGATCCAGTAAACCCTCAAGTTCCAGTGAATATGATATGGTTTCAGCAGCATTACCAAGTTAATATCCGGCAATACCTCGATACATTTCCCAATCGGTAGATAGGGAGGCGAGGATCGATTGAATGGCCAGCGCGATCACCTGATCTTTCATCATTAGATTTCTTTTTATGGGGATATGTAAAGAGCAATGTATACAAAACTAAACTTTCAGATTTTAATCACTTAAAAGAACGAATAACACTTGCGATTAGGTAGGTCACGCCTGATATGTTAAATAATGTTAGAAGACAGTTTTATTTGAGATTGGGATGTTGCCAAGACGTTCGCGGTGAACGTTTTGAACATCAACTTCATTAACATCCATAGTTCTTTTGCGTATTCTACATTTCATTACGTTTCACATTACATTTTAGTTTTTCAGCGTATTTTATCGAATTTCAGTAACCACAAGATTTTAATTTATTTTATCTTAATTGTTGCAGTAAACTTGAAAGCGATAACATTTTTGAATAGAGAATGAAGAGAGCTTTCAAACGATATATCACAAACCTATACTTCCCATTTAAAGAATTGGGGGTTGTACCTCTCATTCGAAGGGCGTTGAAGGTAGAGGTGGCATTTTTACGTTGAAGAATGTCAAATTATAATTTACATTTGACGTGTTTCGTTTTTTTTAAATATGTACAGTAATCGAAATAATGAATTTATTTCATTTAGCTTTCATGCAGTGTATATGGAGTTGATGATCTGTGTCTGGCAAACACATCAGTTTTTCGTTGCCTGCGATGTCTGAGTGTTTTGAAACCCAGTATATGGCCAATCTATTTCTGCCACAAGTTTCCTCAAGCATTCACTTCTGGATTTGTTAGTCCCCCAAGTGCAGCCTGTCTGTCTGTGAAAATATTGCACAGCTCATTTCGATGAAGGCTCAATTTTTTTTTGCACATTGCATAAACTTCAGTCTGGAAGACTGATGTGATGTGAACTAAGCGAGTAGGTAACCGAAATGAAGATTTATCCCCTCTAAATAAATTTCAGCTCCTCTTCCATGTTCGGTTTTTAACCCGTCTATATACCAGGTGTTCCTGCTGAGTATATTCTCAGGATGACTGTTCAATCTTCACTCTCTGCAGTTTAACCGCAAATTTTGTGTCAAACGTATATTTGGTGTCATTGTGGTCTGATGTTTGTTCCTCCACATATTTCAAACCTGGAAATTTGAACAAGTTGATATACTACTCTGTTCAGAAAATAAGATGAATGTTCATTTTTTTTTCAAAAAATAACTATTAATGTTTCACTTGGTTTCTGGGTTTTGCCGTGGTCTTCTTTGGTTACAATCTCCATACATTTCAACTGCAACTACGGCAGTAATCTTCAGAGTCATCTTCAGTGGCGTGGTCGAAGCACTCTTCTTGACGTGTCAAATGAAACTGAAGCTCTTATTTCAGCCTATATTCATTTCTACACATTTCTACGCATGCTTTGCTGACAATAAATCTCATTATTGACAAAATGGTTAAGACTTTCCAGGCGAGATTTTCAGTGTCACTGTTTTTCAGATTCGAATGGCATCAATTTTGTAATTTCTTCGTGACGTTTCACTGGTGCCCATGGCTAGTCATGGAAGATAACTCAGGATGTATAAACCTCTGAAGAAGATAGCCTCTCGCCCCAGCGAAACTTCCGGAAGAAATTCCAAAAATTGACGGCTTTCAAACCCAAAAAATAATGACACTGAAAGTTTAACATTATTATTACTTTCACTATTGTACCGAGAAGTCCACAAGAAATATTAAAATATCGGTAAGTAGATTTAATACCTATTTTCAGGAAGACATAAAATGTTCATCTTGAAATAATCTATCTATAAGCATACCTTTTGAAAATAGTTGTGCAGCAACACCCTCATTTCATTATCGGTTAACTTCATGAGTCTGTCCATGAGTAGTTTGTCCCCTTGCTCCTCTATCCTCTCCAGAGCCATTTCACAAGCAGGCCTATGTCCACAAAGAATTTCATTTTTATATTCCATTACCAAATCTATGCCTTCTATTGCTTCCTCATACTGAAAGGCTTTCCTTTCCTCATATTCATTAAAAATCTTTTTACTTTGGGAGTTAGCTTCAAGCTTGAATTTTTGTTCTAGAAGAAAATCTCGTGTTTTCCTCAAATTTCTGATTTCGTGTCTCAGGTACTCTAGGTCTTCGTTTGGCAAGGAAATTGTTAGACTGACTTCGTTTGACTTGCCCAAACTTGAGCGGGAAATTAAAGCAACAGCCTTGAGGTCGTCTTCACTCTTGTGCTTCTCACTATTAGAGCTCCCTTTAGAATCATTCATCTTAGCAGACTCCTCCTTTATTTGGTCTTCATAATTTTGTCGTCTTTTTTCTCCTTCCTTCTTGTATCTTCTTAGCTTTTCCAGTTGTTTCTTAGAGGTGCGAATGCTTTCCTCTAATTCCATCAATTTTTTCCTTTCCTCTTCAGCTAAGTCCTTTAGGGATTTAGCATCCTGCAGCTTTGCTTCCAACTCTTCCAGTTCAACCTTGTACCTCCCCTCTGAGTAACGATTTTGTTGACTCTGAGCAAACAACAGTTTGGTTCGGGTATTTTCAATTTCCTTCTTCAAATATTGATATTTTTGATTTATTTTCAAGAGCGCGCTGGACTGAGTGTCCTTATGTTCTAAAAGCTGATGCATCAAGTCCTGTTTTACCTTGATAGTCTGCTCTAAATTCTTGATCTGTTTCTGACAACCTTCTATCATTGTTTTTATCTGCTTCAGAACTTTCTTTTTCATTTCGTATGTAAGAACGGTGTCTTCATTTTTCTGTTCACTGTCGAGTATATCATCTTCTTCGATGAACTTCATGGGACTGGAAGAAGCTACAGCTAAATTGATTTCTTCTGTCGAATGCATACTACCTCTTCTACACCTGTTGGCGCTTCTGGAGGAATGAGTATTGCTCGAACTGCTTGGGATATCCCTGTTTTTTGTCTCAGAAAATGTTACATTCTGCAAGTTGCTTGCTTCTGAAACCAAACGATCAGTAGTTTCTTTGAAGTTGTCCATGAGACTGTCCAACTTTTCCAGTAGAGTTTTAGATTCCTCCTCCTCTAAAATACCTTCGCTGTCACTAATACTTTCTGAACTATCTTCAATTTCTTCTTCGATCCTTTCCAGAGATCTGTGTGGTTCAGAATTTTCACTCAAACACTCCTCACATTCTTGTTTTAGAGTAAGCCAGTGGGAGATCTGTTCCGTTTCTGTTTTATTTAAACCTCCGTTCAGAACAAGCTTTTGAAACAATTCCTCGGCATTAGAAACGAGCTTCAGCAGTTGAGCAGCTGCAAACTGTAGCCCAAATACATCCAGGCTATCTTGGAGAGTCTCGTATCTGACATATGAGTTTACGGTAACTATGTTCTTGATGCACTGGGCACGATAAACAAATTGTAGGGAGTATAGAGTTTCAACATAGTCTTGGAGTAAAGGGGATACACAGCAAATCACAAGGGTCTTAGCACGCCCTCCAAAAGAGTCCTTCAACAATGTAGTCAGTACTGACTGAGAATAAGGAACCTGGTTAATGTTGAATCCATTCATGTAAGGTTCAGATAAAAGAGTTACACATCGATGAAGGGCCTGAAGCCCTATATCTACAGGCATCGTTTGCATATACCCATTATTGTCATAGAGTATTTTTTCACTCCCTGCTAAATCAGCGAAGCTCACTGTGGACACTTTATGCTGAACAGTTGAATCAGTAACCCACTGCTGCTCCAAAGTAAGAGTAAAAAGAGAATGAGCGCCCTTTGGTGTTATATTTGATAACCCAATCTGGATATGTCGAAAGGCATCCAAAATACCCATACACTCTATGCTCCCTCCACCCAGGAGGTCTTGGACATTATCTCCACATATTTGAGACCATGCTATGTGTATGGTAAAGCTTTTGTCACGATATTGTCCGACTTTTGAAAAAACTTCCCGAATGAATCTAGGTATGATTCCATGTTCTGATTCACTGGCAGCGAAATGAAAACCTGGACCATACAGAGTGTAAGTTTTTCCCGTACCTGATTGACCAATGGTTACAATAGAAACGTCACAACCCTCCAGTAAAAAATTCACCATTGGGGCAACAGTAGTGAAAACAGTACTCTGGCAGCAGTTTATGGGTAATGCGTGATTCACAGGATAAACTTGATTGTTTAGTTGTATTGTATTGTTCATAGGATCACTTTGAACATAAACCATTTCTCCATTATTATAATCAAAAGGACAAATCCTCACTGCCGTTTCTATTGGAATTTCCATCCTTGACTAAAACATCTAACCACTGTATATTACATTAATGAAAACATTCAGTTTTTCACTCAATATATTGATATATTCAGCAATTTGGCTTCAAAATGTAATGATATTTGACAGTAAATAGTAAACAAGAAAGGTGTGTTCATTTAATACAAGGGCGCTGGATTAGACACATTTTTTATTTGTCATTTGTCATAGTTGAAAAACATTTGACAGAGTTTTAGGGAGGTTTTAGGTATGATTTGGAAAATTTACTTCAGTGAAATTTTTGACTCTTGTCAGCACATGTTATGTGCAGACACGAAAAAATGTTTGCATTTTGAAAAATAATGATGAATTACAGTGATGTATAAAAAATCTCATTGATTTTGATAACAAATAATACCACATATGTCGACTTGTCAGTCAGATATAATCGAACATTTCTTGACTCTGTGATCACGTGGTATCAAAGTTAGGTCAAATTTCTCGCGTCGAGAGATTTTGATATTCCATATATTTTCATGCCGTATATGTTCTCCTGTCTCCTAATTCATCTAATGTGTTGCTCTTATTAACGAAATTATACACCATCAAAAAATTTTCGAATTGTTTTCGTCCAAAAAAATGGTTCTACCTAAATTAAGATCTACTCATCCCAGAACCATGAAGTTTAACTTAGGTTGGATATTCAAAATTCAGTCGACACACCAACATCTAAAATCGAATCATCTGCTTATAAACCATTTTACTGCTCTTCGAAGTCATTAATATTCCCCGACTTGAATTGATTATATTTCGAGTAATTTTCACTTATGAATAATATTAAGTTATTCCATGAATGTATTACTGTGACAATATGTATATGTTTTCTATATTCAACACTTTCATCCCAAAATTGTATACTGTGTCCTGTAATTGGGTCTAGTGTCTGTTTGGACAATAAAAGTTTTTTTTAATGTACTATAGATCCCGATGTTATGAAAGGTAATAAATATAAATATGAAAGACTATACAGCAATGCTTATGATAATAGGTTCTACCGAACTGTCTTGAATTCGACTGGAAAAACATATCCCAAAATGATCTTTTTCTTGTTTTCTATAACCAACTTACCAAAATGTCCAACATTTCGTTTCCTCTTCTAAAGATCAAAACAAAATATAAAAAGCCTTGGATAACGCAAGGAATTGAAATTTTATCAAGAAATCTTCGCTCTTCACATCACCTGCAGAAATTCACTGATAATCCTTACTTCCATTTATATTTCAAAAATTATTGGAGAATTTACAGAAATACCATCAGACTTTTCAAAAAAATGTACTTCAAAAATAGAATTAATAAAAATAGAATCATTGAATAAAACTGGCCGATACTTGATGAAAATCTTTATTAAAAAACTAATTATTACAGTTTATTGTATGATTTTCACTATAAAGAGTTTTACAAAAACCGCGACACGTGTTTCGCTATACAATAGCTTTCTCAAGTATAAACTGGGTTTATGCTACGAAAACACCATATCACGTTCTGGTAGAGTCTCACTCAAGGTACTATATACCTTTTCGAGATGTGTTCAGCCTAAATTTGCTGAAGTCTGTATTTTTATTACAGAAGAGAGCTATACGATACTTGTATAAAGCTAAACCTCGTGACTCATGCAGGCATAATTGTTCGTAGATGAACAATTGTTCATTTGTAGCTCTTTCCATTCTGGAGACAGTGTGTTTGATTGAAAAGGATCTTGTGAAACTTGGGGTTACCACCTATCACTATACAACTCGACAGAGTATACAAAACAATTTAAAATTACCTATCCCTTGCACCTCTTTGGTCAAGAACTCCTTACTTTACAATGGTATGAAAATATATAATCATCTGCTGAATTACCTACTCTAAAGAGACAAATATTGATACCAAATCATACAGAAAAATAATTGAAGGAATTTAAGTAGTAGACCCTCTTACAGTTTGACTGGGTTCTATACCGATCATTTTCAACCTAGCACATTTAATGTGTATGTTTATTTCAACCATTGTTTTTTATTCAGTGTTTTCTATATTTTAGTTTAGTATATTTTTATAATCATAGGATATTTATGTATTTTTTAATTTTTTTTTACTAGCTTTGTCAACAAGAGTTATTCTTCGGACAATAAAGTATTACGTTGATAGAATTATTGCTATTATTAACTTCACCAACATTCAATTCTACTTCCAATACCTTATTACACTTTGAAATTTAAGCTGCACCAGCTGATGGAAATTTCATGATTTGGTGGATCAAGTTGTTGAATATAAAAACGAACGAAGTGGTAAACAAATCACTGGACGACCACACCTAACTACCCGATTGATATAAATAAATATGTACCTTCCTTCAACTCAGGTTAATAAAAAAATTTATATTATTACTCTGAGGTCTTCAATCGGTGGAATGCACCTGCACTATGGTAATTTCTTTCCTCTGTTACTATGCTTGGACTAAATAGCGGAGCGCAACGCGCAACACGTCACATGTCATTTATCAGCTGTCAATAGTGTCAATTAGAGTTTGTTTTGGTTTGGAGGGTGTAGACGATTTTTATATTGAAAATTAAATCCGTAATCATCCAATACTTGAAAAAATATATTTCTTAAAATTATTAACCATTTCAATAATTAAACATGACTGCTCCTACTGCTGGTGGTGATTCAAACAGGGGGAGAACACTAGCGTATAAAGATAAAAGTAAACCTGCTGATGTAAGAACCAGCAACATAAATGCCGCAAAAGGTGAATATCAAATATAATAAAAAGTATGCGATAATTTTCACCTAACCAAGTCAAAAATAGTTATTTATGAGATGTTATTTGAGCTGCCATTCGATTCCTTTGAAGAGAATAGCCTGTTTTTTCTAACAATAATGTTTAATTTTCAGCTGTTTGTGATGCAATTCGAACAAGTTTGGGTCCCAGAGGAATGGATAAAATGGTATGGCCAAATGTAATAACTAACCATGAATAAACTATGGAAATCTCCAAAACAGAAGTTTTGCATAACTAATATTCGATTCCTATAGAAAGAAAAAATAAATTTTCAAAATCGTCCAATTATAGTCAGTTGGGCTGACCATTTCAATTTTTCTTTTTCTAGATCCAGTCTGGAAATGGAGAAGTAACTATTACCAATGATGGGGCCACAATATTGAAGCAAATTAATGTTATACATCCTGCTGCCAAGATGGTATGTTTTTAATTGGTTCTGTTATTAACCATGGTTCTGTTAATACACAATATATGAATACCACTGAATCGAAGTTATTTACATGAAAATTAAACTAAAAGTATGAAATGTATATACTTTACAAATGAGACTTGAAGAAAATAATGAACATTACTATTTGTTTATATGTTTAACTAAATTTGCTTTCATGTTTCATTTGACTCATTAATTTCGCTGCACAAATGACAAATTTATGAAAAATTATTCCTGTCAACATTTTGAAGTGTGTAGGTATGTTGGAAAAGAAAAAAATTCCAGAACATTCATTTGAAAATTTTTGTGAAGTTTTTGTTAATCTGAGAAATTTTTCAATTGAGAAGTTTGACATGCAGATAAGATGTCTATTGAAACGAAAACACAAAATCAAAATCCTGTCAGTTGCCTTATACAAATCGTTGTGGTCTCTTGTGCTTCACGTTTGTGAAAGTATGTTACTTTACCTATCAGTCAATTTTTTACTTCTATAATAATTACACCAAAATACCTAACTCTAACAAACACACCAAGTCTAAAACAATAAACATTGACATGTTTCACATTCTGCTGCTTACCATTCAACTTCATCATTTGTGGAACATACTAATGCCTTCAGCAGTATAAATTTTTCCAGTATGGACATTTAAAAACCAGCTTTGAATAAGTTTGAGATTTGAAGGCCTGTAAGTGATCCAATCTATTGACTTTTGACTTCATGTCATGATTATTAGACCACCATAATTTTTATTTCAGTTGGTTGAGTTGTCAAGGGCCCAAGACATAGAAGCTGGAGATGGTACTACATCCGTTGTCGTTATTGCTGGAGCATTATTAGATGCCGCAGAGAAGTTGCTACATCGTGGAATCCATCCCACTGCAATTTCTGAGTCATTCCAAAGAGCAGCAGTGCTAGCTCTTGAGGTAAGAGAATGAAATTTTCTCAGTTATTTTGGTGGTGGTACTTTTCATATGTATCTTCATATATTTCAAGCAAGTCCACTATTTTCCATTAACTGAAATTATACAAACAAAAAAAAAATTATTTTAATAGCAGTTGGAAGTTAAATCCTTGGGCATATTGATTGAATCCTTAAATTGGGTTCTCACGGCGATGGTATTTGTAAGAAACTCAGTAATTAATTTTTTGCAATAAAATTGATGAAAAACTATATTGATCAGAAATGTCTATTATGCAATGGTTTTTTCACAAATTTCCCTGAATATCATGAATTGTTACAGTACAGATTCGAATAAGGTTTTCATAGGACAAAAACAGGTCAAAAAACAAAAACAGTTCATTATTCTTATATTTATTTTGTGATCAAAATGGTCAAATTAATTAATATTATTGATTATGATTATGATCCAAATGTATCCTACGGCATTCATTAAAACAGTTGAGGTTGTCTTGAAGTTTCAAACAATATGCATAGATCCTATTAGGAGGTGATGATAACTTACTGATTCCAACAAATAAACAAAAGTAATAAATGAAATTAGTTACATGGGTCTGTGTAAGTATGTTGAACCTTTCCACAAAATATAACCATACGAATCAGGGGCACCCATTGAGGACTTTAGTTAAACAAAGTAAAACATTGAACATTCAGGCTCTATAACTACAGCTTATTTAAATAATGTAATAAAATAATGTGTGAAAAAAATATACAACTGACTGGCAGATGAAGTAAACCAAGTAGAATTGATAAAGCTTAAATTTATCAGCAGACAATAATCCTTTAGAACTACTAATGAAAGGTACAGGGTCATTGATAGTGTGGACCACTACTATTCAATAGTAGTGCTCCACAATGGTTACCTTGAGGCACCCCAGATGAAACATTTATTGTTTGAAAAATAGAATTATTAATTTTTACCCATCTTTCAAAAAGATTCTAATCCACAGTATTATGGTACCAATGTCTAGTTCAGTAATTATATGATTTATCAACCAAAAAGATCACTCAGCAAACGAGCTCAACTTGGACTTATGTGATCGATTTGAATAGGTGTGAGCCACAATAAACCGCTGGTTGCACTTTAGTTCAAGTTTAAAAATCATATTGATATTTTTTGGATTCAACATATCAATCGATAGGATACTTGTAACACTTGTGTCTGATTTTTGTTTTTTCTTTTGACTTTTAAAATTCACATTTCAGATATTGAATGAAATTTCAACTCCTGTTGAGATTACAAACAGAGAAGAACTGATAAAGAGTGCCTCAACTTCTCTCAACTCCAAAGTTGTGTCACAACAGTCCAGCCATTTAGGGCCTTTGGCAGTAGATGCAGTACTCAGAATAGTAGAACCTGGTAAGTTTAAAACTAGAGTTATGATCATCTTTCAGAAATTATATATGATTCTTAAATTCATAAAGGTATCATTGTGAACAAACTCAGTGGTGTTTCTGTTATTTTATAGGACGCGAGCAGGCTTGTAATCTTAACGATATCAAAGTTATCAAGCAATTAGGGGGAACTGTAGAAGACACAGAGTTAGTCGAAGGAATCGTGTTCCCTCAGAGATCTTCAAATGTTTCTGGGCCAAAACGTATTGAAAAAGCTAAGATTGGATTCATCCAGTTCTGCATTTCACCTCCCAAAACAGACATGGACCACAACGTTATTGTGTCAGACTACGCTGCAATGGATAGAGTTCTGAAAGAAGAAAGAGCTTACATTCTGAATATCGTTAAACAAATTAAGAAAGCTGGATGCAACGTTCTTCTGGTAATAATATTCTTTATTAACATCAGTGCACCATATCGGATGAGGATTTTATTTGGAGCACATGTATTTTTTTAAGTTGGCTAATCTGTTTCACTTTTTGATCTTGCAGTTTAAAATAATACTTTTCCTGGATTATGGAAGATATCACGAGTTTGTCCCATTTTTAAGTCTGGAGATCCATCTGATATTCAGAATTATCGTTCTATTTCATTCCTATCGAACTTTGCTAAACTTGTCCAAATTGTTATTTATAATCTCATACATTCCTCAGTTCGTAATATCATATCTCCGCAACAACATGGATTTATATCTTAACAAATCCACCATAAATTTAATTGTATTGGTTCAAAATGTTACTGATGCCTTTGATAATTATGGTCAAGTTGATGTGATATACACTGACGTTGCTAAAGCATTTGATCAACTTGATCACATGACCCTTCTACAAAAACTCCACCAACTTGGTTTCCATAATTCAACAATTCTTTTCATTAAATCCTACGTACTTCAACGCGAACAGTTTGTATCATATAACGGTTCTGATTCTTTTTATTACAATCCTTCATGAGTTATTTTTTGCAGATGATTCAAAACTATATTTATCTATCAAAACTATCGAAGATTGTATTACATTGCAACAACAGTTACAAAATATACAGATTTGCTGTGAAGTTAACAAACTATATCTGCATGCAAATGTAAAGTAGTGTCTTATAGTAGGAAAATGTTAGTCTCTCTCTCTCTTCTTTATTGGCCGATGCTTCCTGTTCAGGCGCAATTGGGGCCAGCTCAATACGGGGGGTTGTCCTTGTCTGGGTTAGCACTCAGTAACAACCCTTATATTTTAATTCTGAATCATGCTGTCGACTTCTTAGTGTTTGTTCGTCTACTTCTTCTCATGCTATGAGAATGTTAGGGATTGACAAAGATACACAAACAAAATGTTCTGGGATATATGATGGAGTTTAAGTATAGGAATTTAGTTTATTAAAGGTTTATAGTTTGATTTTATTGTAATCTAAAAATTGGATAAGAATCTTTGTGATTTGTATATTCAGATTACGAAAAACTTGAAATATGTTAAAGGGGGAATTAATACCATGTTTAATAAGTTCAAAATAAATATCTCTGTTAGGGATAACATTGATAGGGCATTCCAGGAAAATATGGTTTACGTTTTCTACTAGACCGCATTCACAGTATGGGTGATCAACTATTCCTAACTTGTACTGATGTTCTTTAGTATGACAATGACCGGTTTTCATCCGTATTATGGTGGTGATGTGTCTCCTATCTATGGTAGGGAGAATAATGCTATTTTACTGGGGTATTTTTCATGGACTTTGTTATAGGATTTACCTGTTTTTATAATGTCATTTTCCCATAGCGACTTGAAGTTTTTTATGATATTATTTTTTAAAATCGAGTATATTGTGTTGTTGTCTATTTTGATTTTTAATGGGATGTTCAAGTTGGTTCCTATTTTTGCTAAACAATCTGCTCTCTCATTCCCTATGATGTCTGAATGTCCAGGTATCCATACAAATTTGAAAATGATATTGTTTAAAGAGGTGTGATATGCCATATTCCTGATCGAAAGACTAATGTGGTCGATTTTGGAAGTAACTTTTTTCAGCAAGATTTTTTCTAATGCACTTTTGGCGTCTGTAAGTATTAAATTTTTTTTTAAATTTTTTCTTAAACATGTCATCATACCTTCGTGGATAGCTATTAATTCTGCTTCACATATGTTTAATATGTCAGAAAATGTTAGTCATTAGTACATTTATCGATTAGTTACCATTTCACTGTCACATAGTATCTCAATTAAAGATCTTGGTAAGTTTATGGCTTTATTGTTCGCAATTGTAGATTTTTTTCAATTATATCTCCTCTAATATCTCTTTATGTACCTTATGTAAGGTCAAAATTAGAATATGGCTCTGTTCAATGGTCCCCATTCTACAATTGCTATAATACATTAATTGAAAAAGCTCAACGTTGTTTCCTAAGGTTTATTTACTTCAAATCTCATGGTACCTCTCCTGATAGAGGTATTCCGTACGAATTTCTTATTATTACATTGAATATCAAGTTACGTAGAAAACTTGCTGAAATAGTTTTTCTATATAAATTACTGTACAGCAATGTGGATGCTTTGTAGGTGTTATCTGTTATAAAATTCTGTGTACCTCATTTTAGAACTGGAAATACAAAAATTTTTTACTGCCGACTGGCCAGAACCAATTTGTAAGTCAAGTCACCCATCTTTAGCGTTTGCAATAATTTCAAATTCGAATTTGTGTGATATCAATTTTGACTTCCTAGAATATATTGGTAAAACTGCATCTCAGTTTTTCATGAAGAATTTTTAATTTCTGGTAAAGTTTTTTTTTATTATTTTATTTTAACCGCTGGTTGCACTTTAGTTCAAGTTTAAAAATCATATTGATATTTTTTGGATTCAACATATCAATCGATAGGATACTTGTAACACTTGTGTCTGATTTTTGTTTTTTCTTTTGACTTTTAAAATTCACATTTCAGATATTGAATGAAATTTCAACTCCTGTTGAGATTACAAACAGAGAAGAACTGATAAAGAGTGCCTCAACTTCTCTCAACTCCAAAGTTGTGTCACAACAGTCCAGCCATTTAGGGCCTTTGGCAGTAGATGCAGTACTCAGAATAGTGGAACCTGGTAAGTTTAAAACTAGAGTTATGATCATCTTTCAGAAATTATATATGATTCTTAAATTCATAAAGGTATCATTGTGAACAAACTCAGTGGTGTTTCTGTTATTTTATAGGACGCGAGCAGGCTTGTAATCTTAACGATATCAAAGTTATCAAGCAATTAGGGGGAACTGTAGAAGACACAGAGTTAGTCGAAGGAATCGTGTTCCCTCAGAGATCTTCAAATGTTTCTGGGCCAAAACGTATTGAAAAAGCTAAGATTGGATTCATCCAGTTCTGCATTTCACCTCCCAAAACAGACATGGACCACAACGTTATTGTGTCAGACTACGCTGCAATGGATAGAGTTCTGAAAGAAGAAAGAGCTTACATTCTGAATATCGTTAAACAAATTAAGAAAGCTGGATGCAACGTTCTTCTGGTAATAATATTCTTTATTAACATCAGTGCACCATATCGGATGAGGATTTTATTTGGAGCACATGTATTTTTTTAAGTTGGCTAATCTGTTTCACTTTTTGATCTTGCAGTTTAAAATAATACTTTTCCTGGATTATGGAAGATATCACGAGTTTGTCCCATTTTTAAGTCTGGAGATCCATCTGATATTCAGAATTATCGTTCTATTTCATTCCTATCGAACTTTGCTAAACTTGTCCAAATTGTTATTTATAATCTCATACATTCCTCAGTTCGTAATATCATATCTCCGCAACAACATGGATTTATATCTTAACAAATCCACCATAAATTTAATTGTATTGGTTCAAAATGTTACTGATGCCTTTGATAATTATGGTCAAGTTGATGTGATATACACTGACGTTGCTAAAGCATTTGATCAACTTGATCACATGACCCTTCTACAAAAACTCCACCAACTTGGTTTCCATAATTCAACAATTCTTTTCATTAAATCCTACGTACTTCAACGCGAACAGTTTGTATCATATAACGGTTCTGATTCTTTTTATTACAATCCTTCATGAGTTATTTTTTGCAGATGATTCAAAACTATATTTATCTATCAAAACTATCGAAGATTGTATTACATTGCAACAACAGTTACAAAATATACAGATTTGCTGTGAAGTTAACAAACTATATCTGCATGCAAATGTAAAGTAGTGTCTTATAGTAGGAAAATGTTAGTCTCTCTCTCTCTTCTTTATTGGCCGATGCTTCCTGTTCAGGCGCAATTGGGGCCAGCTCAATACGGGGGGTTGTCCTTGTCTGGGTTAGCACTCAGTAACAACCCTTATATTTTAATTCTGAATCATGCTGTCGACTTCTTAGTGTTTGTTCGTCTACTTCTTCTCATGCTATGAGAATGTTAGGGATTGACAAAGATACACAAACAAAATGTTCTGGGATATATGATGGAGTTTAAGTATAGGAATTTAGTTTATTAAAGG